GACAGAGCAGGGACAGCTGACCCCAACTGATCAAAGGGATATCTCAGACCGTGTGCCAAAGTGCTCAGCACTAAAAACTGGGAGAAGGAAGGAGTTATGATGTTTGTCTTCCCAAATACCAGTTAAGCATGATGGAGTAACTGTTCCGGCTCTCCCAGAAATGGCTGAACACCTGCCTGCCCGTGGGAAGCAGTGAATGAATTCTTTATTTTGCTTTGCCGGTGCACACAGCTTTTACTCCACCTATTGAACTATCTTTGTCTTAATCCACAAGTTTTCTCACTTCTACCCTTCTGCTTCTCTCCCCCATTGCTCTGGGCAGGAGCGAATGAGAGCAGTGTGGGGCTGAGCTGCCCACTGGGGTTAACCCACCACACACCCCTAAAGGCTGTGGTGATAACACCCCCTCCATCATCTCCAGCATGCCTAAGCAAGGACATATTTCCCCAGGAGCTGATTTCCTAGCAAGGACAGGGTATTCTCGGCACAAACCACACTCATAGCCCAGAGAAAAGTCATTCAAAGCAGCACGTGGGTAACACCAGTAACCGTGCAAAGCTGCAGGACCAGTCAGCTTTGCAGAAGATAAGGCAGCTTGAGACTCGCTGCTTTGCCCAGCACAACTGTCCATGTTGGGAGAAAGAAGCAAAAGACTCTGGTAGCTCATTTGGCATCACACTGTCCCATTCCCATTGCTCAGGAATGGTTTGAGAGGTGTCTGATGAAGCCCAGAGGTCTCAACCCTGGACAGGTAACACTTCAGGGCTGAGCTGCACTGAACTTTTCTCACTAGGAAATGGTTTTGTGTACAGTACTGACGTCAGAAGGTAATGAGAGATTTTAATCAGTCCCCGCACAGAAGGAAGGAGATTCCTGTATAATACCAGAGATTACCATAATACTCTCATTTGGGATCTCTTTGGGATCAGGTCTGTGCTACAGGAAGAGGCTGTGGTTCAGGTGAAAGGAAAGGGGCTACAACCAGCAAGAACCAAACATCCAGCCAGTTTTCAAGGAGCTCCAGCCTGGGACAAGCACCTTTCAAAGCCTCCCTTTTCCTCTGTAATGCATGAACACGATCCAGCCATATGGAACAACTCCCATTGCAGGGAAAAATAAGGCAAATCCCCCTCCAAACAAAACAAAAAGTTAGAGCAACGGAAGGAAGCAGAGACAGGAAACTACAAGGACTTTCTTCAGAGAGGCCACTGCTGCAGGATAAAAGGACAGATTTTTATGCATGTGCTGAGATTCCTTTTCAAACTTACTTTAGGCACCTGAACAAAACCAGCTTTGCACAAAGGTTCAAACCATCCCCTGCTGCCAGTGAGGAGAAAACTAGCTGCCTCCTGACAGCTGCTCAGGGGAAGCTTGACTGGGTGGAAATACAGGATATATTTCCTTTTCACTAGCAATGAATAATGAAAATAACGAGATGTAGATCAAGGAAATATCTTTTTCAGATTTTACTCTACAGACACAAATGTGTTACTGTCACCAGAAAGGTGTAAGATCACTGGATTGCTTATGGTTAAAAAGCCTTGGTCTCTGCCCTGTGCATGGCCATGACCCAGGAGCCAAGTAACCTGCTAGGATTTGAGATGAAATTGGTTGTCACTGCTGCCATTTCTGGGTGACTTGGGCAGTGACACACAACTGCTGACACTGGCTTCTGCTTTAGTTGTTGTAAAGGTGGTTTCAGAGAACCTTGGGAGCCCCAACAAAATTTGTGGAAGTTCACAGTGGTTCAGACCCACCTTTCTGTAACTCTCAGCACGGCTTTGTGAAAACCTGCATCCTCACCACCTGCATCTTCAGAGCCACAGGATAACAAGGGTTAGAGAGAAAGAGCCTTATGATGCCTCTTCTTGCCCCTGCCCAAAGCACACTGAAGTTTTAACCTACAATATGGGAAAGAGCCATTTAGCCACTCAAAGTTTTTCATCTATGAAAACAAATTCTGCACAAATGGGAAACCATCCTCTGCAATGGCCAGGTCCTGAATTTGAGTGAGATGATGACATTAAATGTCAGGCCAGCTCCAGGTATGCATGACTAAAAACTCAACCAGACCAATTTCTAAATTTTGGGAGAAGCAAGCCCAATCCTTCTTGGTGTTACTGTGTACAGGTCTAAAAGCCTTAGTTATGGGCCACGCTCTTCATGGCCTCACATAAGCACTGAGGTTGACTAAGAGCCATGAGACCAGTTGTGATGGCTCATAATTCATTATTTGCCCCAGTTGCAGTGTGGCTACACTGGTGCAGCTGCTCTGGACAGACCCAGTCCCTGGATCTGGGCAGAAACAGGACAGTGATGGCTACTGCAGCCAGTATTGCTGGGGCATGGAGTGATGGGACCCTTGAGAACTGCTGTTGTACTTTGCCAGTGGATCATTCCCTGAGGTGGTGGCTCATGATTCCCTGGCATGGAGCTTTTGGTATGGTTAGACAGGGTGAAAATTTTGGCTGTTTCAAACAGCCCAGTTTCCACAGGCCTTGAGGATGGAAGGGGCTTGATTGAAACAGAACTGTATTCCTCAAGTGCCAGAGCTGCTGTATTTCATTTCCCAGCTGCTCACTTGGATGAGGAAGAAATAGAAAGGAGCCAGTTTCATGGAAAATCATGACAGGCCACAATCTGCTGAGTTAACAAAAAAAAGTCACCTGCTTCAGAGCAGCCAGTCCAGTAGGATACTGCAAATTCAGTCCAGGGGGAAAGCACTTGGAGAAAAGGGTAAAAATTTCAGGGAGACATCCTGCTTGACAAAGAATTCATTTGGTGCTAATGGTTCTGCTTCTTGCTACCAGCATGAACCACACTCCCAAAAGGCAGTGCATGAGCAGACACGAACAATACAGTGATTTGTTCTCAGGAAGCATTCAACCTCTGCCAACAGTCAACCGGATCCAGACAACGGCGAGGGCAGTCAGACCGGCACATGGCACACCAAAGGAGGAGCTGTATCACTTGGCACAGAGCTGCTATTTCCAGCACTTACATCCCATCGTCATGCTAGCTCAACTTTTTCACTCTTCAGAGGAGGAGGACTATGCTCCTGTAATGAAATCTGGATCTACAAGGGCGAGAATTTTTCCTTGAGATCAGTAGAGGGAGGTGTCCTCAACTCCTAAAATCCCTCAGCAGGTGGTCTGATTTGCAAATGGCCTCAGCATTCAAAGCTGTCAGCTACAGCTCAATATAAAAGGCACCTGAAACACCTACAGCACAAACCTTATGGTTTCAAGTTTCCACTAATTTTTATTTGTCCTGTTTACTTGCTTACTTAACAGAATTAGCTCTGAGCATTATTAAAAGAAAAACAAATATGATGTAGTAACACTTTAAAGACATTTTAAGTTGAAAACCAGCAAGGCATATTGGAAATAATTTTTTAAATTAAATACGGTGCCAGGTCACTGGGAGTGAACAAAACAACTGACACTCCCTAGATCTGTTGATTTAGAATTATATCAGAACAGCATTTCCCATATTTGAAGAAAATAAGAACAAAGCACTGGATTTCTTCCTGCTTATTTGAAGGATTCTCACTTTCGCTGCAACAAATTACTGCCCTACTTTCTTGGAAACTTGGACCATATGCCAAGCACTGCTGAGAGAACTTGTACTAAAAGGAGGATGCATTCCAGAAAGTTATTAGATGTCCCAGAGTGTGCCACTGAGCCTGTTGTTCAGAGAGCACCAGGTCCTCAAAATGCGGAAATTTGGATCATGATCCTGTAACTGAATACAATGCCCTTCCACTGCAGGGCAGAAAGCAGCCCAGAGATGGGAATAAACTTGCTTTGAAACATCAGATCCCAACCACTGACAAGATGCCAGGCTAGAAGAATTACTGGTCTGATAATGTAGTAGGACAAGGTTCTATCTTCTGCACCTAAAAGTTGGTTTCTTTTTAAAATCTATTAGCAGCAGATTCCCACACAGCTTGGCCAGAACAGTCTGGTCTTAGTCTGTTTTGTTTGTCTTGAAACATCTTGCTGTTTCTCACCCTTCATTAGGAGTCCCACTGCTTTTACAACTTCTATGAATAGCTGAGGTTGGGAAAGTGCAGCATAGCCTGGAGAAGCCCACATGGCTCAGTCACAGAGGTATTTTGGTATTCAGTTCCCATAGGGTCAGTGGAAGTTTGCAAGGCTCCATCTATCCCCTCTTTGCTGGCCATGCCCACACCCCTCCTCGAGCTTGGTGGGCCACACTGCACAGCCAGGGTGCCTGGCAGGGCTCACACACTCCTTCGTTAGATTACACTGAGCAAGGTGCAACTGCAACTCCAGCATTTCCTTTCTTGGGAAAGGGCTTGTTCCAATGTCAAGCCAGACTGCAAGCGTGAGCATGGCCCAAACTGCCAAGAAGCTGTGTCTCAAAGACTAATTCAAGCCCCAAGCTAAAAGGCAAGCCTAGATGTACTTAATGACCTGGGAGGAAGGCAGCCTGTTCACTTGTCTGCTACCACTACTCAAAGACGTGCATGAACATAACGCAGTGCTTTTTATCTCTACACTGCAATCTCCACCATGATTTATAAAGACTAGGCAAAGTTTGTTTAAAGGAACCAACTCAAAGCCAAACCAAGCAACCACTGTCCCTCCCCATCACAGCAATATTTTCCCTTTCAGAGAACTTCCTTGCTTGTCTTTCCCTACACACTTAAATCATACAACAAATAATACTTCTGACACCAAACCAATGTCACTGGTAGCATCCCACATGCCTGGGCTCTCCTCATGAGAGACCACGAACAATGAGTGGCTCACACCTGCTTTGCAACACTTCTGAGTGAACAAGGCTACCTCTGCAGAGGCAGGCCAGGCTGAACAGAAGCGAGCTGTATTTTCCACTTAGATGGAGATAAAACTGTTGGAGACAGAATTTGTCAATAATAAACCAGAGTGAAATGTAAAGAAATGCACACAGTGGAAGTTCACAAACCCCAAAACAAACATGTCAGAAAGAGAAAGAAGGGGGAAAAAAAAAAACCCTTCAGAAGCATTTTTATCTAGTCACTGACAGATAATTTTAAACCATTCGTACAGAATGATGGTTCTATGCAAACCTATATACACCTATGTAGTTTGTCTCAAATAACACTGTCCGTAAATAAAATTACACAATATACAGAAGTTACATCCAAAAGGCATGGTAGCACCACACAGGACTTTGGTCTCAGAAAAACTTCACCTGCAGATCTGTGTGTCCTATGCAATAACCGTACTTGCTTTCTGTAAATGAATTCACAGCCAAAGTGCAATCACACCCTCCCGTTGAGGCAGCAATTTCCACTGCTCCTGTTATGAATTTACCAGAGGGGTGTTGAATCTGGCAGCAACCTCTATGTGGCTTATACAAAAGACACTCAACAACTGTTTGGTGAGGTGCTGAATTTGCTATGTGTGTGCTACTGACCTGCATTCAGGGTCCTCTCCCCCCTGAACAGTGGAGTCCTACGAACAAAGGCAGAACTGACATTTTTCATTAGCTTCAAACCTTCCTTCTGGCATCACAGGGGCTTTTTGTGAATAAGACAGGGAAAGGAGGACATGTTATTTCCTTGGCCTCTCAAATTACTGCTCAGTGGATAATTATTTCTAAGCATATCCACAGTTTCTCTCAGGCATTTGGAAAATGAAGTCTCTCATTCATTAATATAAAAAATACTCTCTGTTTTCAAACTCCATACTCACATGCCAAAACATATAAGAGTTGAACATGGAAACATGTACATACAGAGTTCTGCATTGCAACAGGCCTGAGTAAGAAACACACAAGTACACGTACTTCAGCTTGTTCCTTTCAGTCCAATTCAGCAAGATGCATTTTGGTTTTTCATGAATCTTGATCTGCTGGAGCAGTTGTAGCCATACCTACCAACCACCCTCAGGTGACTGGAAAGGAGTGATAACATTTTGATCTCAATTCATTATAAAATCAGTGAGGTTTTGAGGTTGTTGCTTCCCCTCCCCCCCAAAAAAAATAGTCTGTACTCAACACTTTTCAAAAGCTGCTCTCCACATCAGAGAATCAGATCTGCTCCAACATGAAACTCAGCACTGCTGTAAAATAAATAAAATTCACTGCTGGAGCATTCTGTGTTATCCATGTATGCAAATGAATGTGCTTAGCACTTCAGTGTTAACAACTTGGCCATTGATACCACATGATGGAAAAACCTCTGAATTTCAGAGGAAAGAGAAAAGCTGCCTATCCTGGAAAACCACACGGTGAGCTTTTATGGCTTTTCCATTACTGCCCTTTTGTGAACCAGAGGACATTTTCCCATTAATGGTGTTGATCAGCTCTGAGAGGAGGTAGATGGATCTAAGCACAAGTCAGCGATTTTCTGTGACTTCTTTGTCTAACATGGGGATCAATGTGATGGGGGCTATCAAGTGTCTATAGTCACTTCATGTCCTATGTAGTTTGGGAGTTAAAGCAACACCCGTACTCTGCCTGCTTCGTGTTAGGTCTGTGGACACCCTGAAGGTACTGTGTAGTAAATTGTAACTCCCACATGAATTTGACCAGATTTTAAGTTAGAGGGTGTCTTCTCCTACAAAACGTCCCAATTCCAATTTAAAGTCTATTATCCAAAGGGGTTTCCTGAACCTGTGTGTGGGAGTCCTTTCTACAAACATCTGACACCGCATCAATGAACTCAGTGGGTCTCATGGCAACTACATCAGTGGCCTTGGCTCTTCAGTTGCCACAACACACCAAGAGGCAAAATTCAAGACCTCGGCAGAAGCACAAAGCTTTCTTCTGGTCCTATGGAAATGACCAGTGGCTTAACAACTCCTCACTGCAGGGGAAGGCAGTGTCACTGTGGGAGTTGCTTTACCTTTCAGGCTGTGTACCACTTGTTTGTTTCTCAAGGTGAAACTCCAAAACCAAATCCTTACCTTCCCCCTTTTCGTACAGGTTAAAGCATTTGTTTTTGAAGTCTGCCTCCTTTTCGTACATCTCTGCCTCAGCAGCAGCCAAGTTCCAATGTAAACTGCATTTATGTGTCCTACCAGCTGTCACATGAGGGGATGTTACTGAAAATCCAACCCCCAGTGAAGACTTAGTGTTTCCTGATCACTGCTACTTTTGAGAGAAAGAACAAAGAGCACTAACTTTGTAATCCACTAGCAGCACTAACTGCTGTGTTTTTTATTTGGTGGAGGGCTTCCTGATCTCTCTTGCCTAGCCAGCACTTCATATTCACCAAAAACCAGCACAAATTCCATGAAGACAAAACCAGACATAGCTCTGAAGCAAAGAACATTAAAAAACCCCAACAAAGACCAAAGAAGATTGACCACAGTCACATGTAAAGAGAAAGTTGCTTCCGATCTGTTCACATTTTCATGGTTTCTTCTATGAAGAAGCAAAGCTCTTCGTTCCAGTGGAAAAAATGGATTATTCATTCCACAAATGTGTTACAGTAGAATTAAGAAAAAATGTAGAACGAAGAAATAGGAATAACTGCTGCAGTTAAAGCTGCTGATCAGATCCTCAGAGGTGAACATGGATGCTGCCTTGGACACTGTCACAGTGTTTTTCATCTGCTACAGGTCAACCAGAAGCTGATGAACTACTTCTTCAGTCTCTGGAGGCCAAACAGATCTCACCCCACATCACTGCTACAGGCAGAAAAGGCTCTGCACATGATGTACACTGTCCCTCCTAATGCAGATCCTTTGAACACAGATATCTCCCAAGCCATTCACAAAGGCATAATTTAAAAAACAGCAAGTGACAGGCTGGTTCAGCAAACATGTTAAAAAGACAGTTGTTTGGTCAGACTCCTCTGCTGTCTCTCTACATGCTGTCTCCAAGGGCCATTTACTCTGACACAGAAGGCAGAGAGCAAGAGTTTCTTCTCAAGGTGGTAATGTCACTTTAGAGTAAACTATCAGAGGAACTGGGACTATATCCATGTCCCATATCAGCCCTGGGCTGCTGCTGAGACCTTGAATTGTAATAACAAGGCCCTTGTCTTAGCCAGCTTTAGAGACCACAACAGACGCATCCCATCAGATAATCCCGGAATCACCGTGCAAGGCAAATGCCATGTGGTGTCAACAACCTCACTCTCTGCTCCGCAGGTCACCAGTAAAGCTCATTACAGGAAGCTGGCTCTGTCCTTTAACAATGTGACAGGTGATTCTCGAGGAAAGGAACTGTTCTCACTTCCTGTAGGACTGGCTGCCTGCAGAAAAACAGCAAGAAAGAGTCTGTCAGCTGAAAGCAGGATTTACTACAAGATAGGAGCTGCCTGAGGGCAACACTTGTGCGACCTGTACAGGGACACAAACATCACAAAAACCATGCAGAAAGGCACTTTATCTACCAATGCCGCAACTTAAAAATGCAGGACATATTTATGGCAACCCCTTGTCTAGGGACACAGAAAGAACTGAAAGGGAGTCACCAGGGCCCAGTCACACCACTGCCAAAAAACATTCCTCATTCTTCTGGTAGAGAGTTTTGTACTGCCCTAGCTCCAATGTGCCCTAGACAGAACTTGGTACACTGCAAACAGCTTCAGCATGTCCATGAAGGGTTGCCTGGAATAGATGCAGAATAAGGAACAGGGTAGATTAAACCATTCAATCATGTCCACATGGAGCACAGTTGAAAAGGTCTAAATTTGGAGGTCCCTTTGTTCCCTCTGGAACTCTGTGTTCCAGCCATGCTGCCAGTGCCATCCCTGTGCCAGCTAGGAAGTGGAAATCACGGTGGGTCCCAGCATAGTTGGTTTTATTTGGAGGAGCTTGGTTTTGCTTTAAGGTACAGTTTTAGAGCTCAGCTAACAGCAGCTGGCTGCATCTCAGGCAGGAATCCAGCCCCAGGCCTGGAGCTGAACTAAGTACCTGTGCTTCCTCTGCATTCCTCAGGCATTCCACACACTCCACGCTCCAAGAGGAGCAGTCCAGCTAGTTCAGCTAGGTTTATATAAAATCAACTCGTTTCCAGAAAATACACCTATAATAAATATTAAAATCAAGCTAAAAATGTGCCTCTAAAATAAGTGAGCACATCAAGTACAATCAGAAACTCATCTTTTTCTCATCATGTCCATCATCTATAAAAACCTGCATTTCTCCAGAAATACCAAGAAATCCAGAAACTAAAGATAGTCTTCCACTGGAACAGGGTCTCTTGATATGTAAAAACCTATGTACCTATGCAGCAGGCAAATGGGAGGCAGCAACTGCTGAAATCTACTGATTGCTGATATCTGTGCATTTGATACCATTTTGGATTTACAGATGAGTCAATCAGGAAATTAAAGGAGCAGTAGCATAGAGCTTTACTAGGGAAACATTAGGGGCTCACCTTGCCTGCACCTTTAAGTAACAGCTGAGAATCACCTTTGAGAACCTCAAGTTTTAACATAGGAGCTTAAAACCGCCTTTTTAGTCCTTTAAAAATCTGGTTCTCATAACCTTCATCTCACTTTTCCCAACCACAAACATCTGTGTGAAAAACCCTGGAGGATGGACAAGAACTAACAGGTGTTCTGTGACAGCAGACAACAAGGCTGGATACATGTACACAGAGTGAATGGAAGATGACTTGTTTGCAAAATAATTTCTTTGCTATTTTTATCAGGAAGATTTTAACATTCAATTGCTGATGCTAAGTCTGTCTCATGGCACATGTGGACAGACAGAAAATGATAACCTGGAATCCCAAGATAAAAATTTGGAGAAAAGGTAAGTGGACACATAGCAAGGTGGGATGCCTGCTATACATTCACCTTTGGGATGCACAGACGAAGAAGAGGAATATTGTAAGACATATCCTACCCAATAAAAGTTAGAAGAGCTCAAGGGTCTGGACTAACAAATCATGTATACTGAATCCACAGAGAAACCCAAGTGACCTACTTTAATGCAATTTGAAAATAAAATATGTTATGCACTGTGCCACTGGAAAAGGATCTTGCTCCAGAACCAAGATGTATATGTCACATCTTTCCTAGGACACACACATCCAGGAATGTAAAGCTGCCCTGGAGAAAGTAGAATATGCAGAGGAGTTTTTGTGTGCACACACACAGACACACACACAGAGTGTTTTTCCTTTCTTCATCAGGGCTTCTTTTCAATGGGATAATGCTTTTGGGAATGAAACGAAACAGGAACCAGAGACAGACTCTTGGGTGTTACACCACAGCCAGTCAGAGCAGAACAGTGCTGCTGTCACAGGAAACAGAAAGCACTGATGCCAGAGGTGAAACATGGGGCACATGCAGCAAAGGTTAAGCTGAAAGAGCCGGCAGTATTACCTCAGCACAGGAATGTTCAAGCAAGTAATGTCTAGGTCAAAACCTCCTTCCACCACCAAGGACATTCCCTTCCATTGCCACACCTGTGCTGCCTGAATAAAATCACACTACTTCCCTGCACATGCAACTGTGTGGAATGACAAAAGAGTGAGCAACACAGAAGATTTAGGATGCTCTTTCCAGCCCTGTTACTGATTTACTAGGTTATTTCAAATCTCTTAGTTTCATTTTCCATATTTGTAATGAGGAGCTAACCATACATATATACCTTGAATTTTGTGGGAAGGTATTAGTTATTATGTTTTTGTGAAATGTTTCAAGGTAACAGTTACAGTTAAAGAACAGAATTGATGTTACATTGTGATAAAATAATCATCACTGAACTTGTTACAATGCCTTTGAAACAAGGATATACATCGCTCCTGCCATTTTCACTGATGGTGGAGACCCAGGTGTATTTGAACCCAGCTAGTCCTATCCACACTCCTGGGAAAAAGCTTATTAATTACTGAAGAATGCATCTTTCTTCCCTCTCCATCCCAAAAAAACTCCACAGCTAACACACCACGTGTTTAGTGATGTGTGAGTATCCAAGATCAACATTTCCACTTTATTGGGCTTGTGTTGCCTGGCTTAAAACAAGTATCCATCCTTTTCCTCCAACCTCAAATGAAAGCCCTCTTCTCTTTTGAAGCGCCTGCAGACTAGTACTGCTTAAACTTTTTCAGGCCACAACACAGCCATGTGGTTCTGAAGTACAAGCCTCCAGAAGAATGGTGACTGCCACAAGCAGCACACTGTGCTCGGCTCTCTGCTCACCAGGCTGCCCTGAGCCCATCTTCTGAACTGCCTGACTCTGGTCTACATTCAGCTGAAGTGTAGGCATACCCAGGGATCCAAATTCAAGAACATTAAACGAGTTACACAGCAGAGTGAACAAGTGACTAAAGAAAAGGAAAAAGTTTGATGACACCTAGAGAAAGTCTAATCTGAGACCAGAAACTTTGAAAAAAACTTCTGAGAATTTGGGCCACTTCTCTCCACCCAGAGACAAGAAAAAGCATGTCTTGTAACTGCTCACATGACAGCCTGGAAATAAGAGCAGTGTTCAGCAGGGTGTAATTACATGGTTGTACATCCTGCAGACGACAAGTACAATGTCATATACTCCTGGCACATTAGCAGCCTACGACCTCATTCCTAAAGAGTTTCTACGGTGCTCCCTCCTTTCCCACCCCAAGGAACGACAAATAGAATGATGACTTTTTCCACTTACTCTGTCTGCTCCTTGTGGATGATCCTGAGGAGCTGGGATGGCTTGTTTGTTGGGGTCCAGACTGAGAGAACTGGGGGGCAATGGCTGGGACCTTTCCCTTTCTAGGGCTGGTACTCTGCCCTTCTGGAGTGCGAGGGATCTTAGGTTTGCTGGTGAAGGCTGAGGGAAACTCTCTGTAGGAGGAGATGGAAAGGGTTAGCAATGCATGGAGAAATATGTATGCATAGTAAGTCTGCAACCAAGTGAAACCTGCAGTACATGCTGTGCTGTGACAGCATGACAGGCTGCTCAAAATTCAAGGAGACTGCAAATGGAGAAGAACATGGCACCACAGGTACTGCCCTGGGATATGTACTCACTGTGCAGCCTCTAACCTGGCTCTGTTGACCTCTCTATCCTACTCAAACCTCATTCTTTGCACAACAGGATTGAACAGGTTCAGTTAAGCTCCCTGCAAATCAGTAATTGATCTTTAGCCTGTTTTCCATTGTATTTATCACATTCAGTGACTCATTCTGAGGTGGAAAAAAATACACAGATATGCTACAGCACAGGAACACATCCTTTTAGGGCACAGACACCATAATTTCTGCCAGGTATAGGTCACAGTCTTGGTAGACACAGGCAGCCTCCCTGGCTCCTGGCTGAGATAAGATCTGTAGAACTCCCTGAAGGCTTTGTCAAAAGAGCAAAAAGCTGTGATGGCATCTATAAAATAAATTCCCTAAGCACACAGGTTCCTTGTTCACACTGAGAACATAAAACATCTGCTGCTATTTCACAGTCTGCATGTGCTGCAAGAATATAATTCTTCAAAATTTAGTCAATAACTGTGTGAGGATACACTGTTCTTCCTTGCTCCCAGAATGTATTCTTTCCCAGGTACAAAAATAGAGGCTACCAGGAAATAGCAAGGCCCTAAAATAATTCTGAATCTATATTAATGTTTGCAGTAGTGATTCGATTTTCTCTTAAAAGGAGAAAAAGTTGAACTGAACTAATAGTTACATGAAAAAGCTCATCATAGTTAAAAAAGGAAATCAAAGAGTCAAACGAGATCCAAAAAGGTGCCATCCAAAGAGCAGTGATTAAAATGGAATGTCTCCGTGTTACTGACTCCACCAAAAGAACCCTTTGTGACAATCAGAAAGGGTGATTAGGAGGATTTTCAAGATATTTAATCTCTCCTCCTCCCCTGGGAATGCTGCTGAGTCAGTGCTGATTAGCCCTTCCACAACCCTGCTTCACCTTGCAGGGAGATTTGAGCAAGTGTTCCTTTTGTATTTTAAATAGCATTACTGCCTGTATTTTGCATTTGTATACGATAACAACTGCTCTGCTAAGAACCATCTCTGCAGCCCTCTACCTACGAGTATTACAAGTGTTAACACTTGTCTCACTTCAAAGGAAGAGGTGGCAGATGGCAGCAGAAACATACTAGCAAAACAAACTCAAAAAAGTAAAATTGTCTACATAGAACTCCAAGGCGTGGACCACAGAAATATTTAAATATCTTTCTCTCCATAAAACAGTCTCATTATTATTGCTTTTTTGTCATTTTACTCACTTCGGTAAAGTGAGCTAATTCAAGTGAATTGGTTTTTCAATTCACTTGTGCTCTTCATGATAATCTTATGTGTGCTATGATATTCTTAGGTAGATAAAAAAGGGAGATTCAACAGCCTCAAAGCAGTTTTTGAGCCACAAATGAGGGGTTTTTTTCCTAATTCAACAATTAGGAGATGAGACAGGAACACACAAAGGTGAATTAGACCATTTTCTCCAAGAATACACTTGGACTTTTGACCAATTTTACCAGATCATCAGAAAAGCAAAGCTAATACAGATCTAAGAAGGCCCTGCAGAGTTTAAGTTCTTTATTATGATAATACCAGACCCAGTCACAATTTAAAAAAGTGCTTTTTCAATCAGTCACAACTGTAAACTCAAGTCCACTAGAAATTTACTCTTGACTGGCTAAAAAGCACAATAGTGCTATATTCTTACACAATCAAAATGCAACAGGGAGGGAATAGCAATGCCGGGGCAGCTGCCAGTCTGACATGCATCAGCTGGAATAATCATTTGTTCCTGTGGAAATAAAACAACTGCAACAGAAATGTCACTGCCAGGGTCTCATTCTTCTCTCAGACTGATTTTGTTGAATTTCATTTATCTCTGTGCAGGTAAATTCCCAATTTATACTGGTAAGTAAGAGGGGAAAGAGCAGTTACTGTTTCCCCACTCCAACTCAGCCCTCCTTTTCTCATAAATACCTCCTTAGGAAGGTCTTGGTATTTACCTCATAGGTATTTGCCTCTAGGAAGGAGACATTTCTTACAGTGGACAAAACCATGAGCAAAGCAGTGATTTATTAGTTCTGTTTGTTATGCAAACAAATTAAAGAACAGGAGTGAAAGAATGAAAAGGCAGGTCTAGCTATTGCAACACCAACATATTAACAAAAGACCCTTGACATAGAAAACCCTGTGTTCGCTTGGACTGTGTGAATGGCTACATTCCCATATCCGTAACTCGAGGCTGCATTTGGAAATACAATTTACTGTACGAATTCTAAGGAAGTACTAGGTGAAAAGATATTATCTTCCTCTGCAGGATACTGCACCTGTGCTTTCAGTTCTATCAAGTCCATCCATGACTGAGATTTAGACATGTTTTCATTAAGAAAAATTAAAGATCACCGGGGACATGCCTTTTTAATAACAGGTTATGACTGTAGAGAAGCAAATAATCTCACTAAAGTGGGGGGCAAGATGCTGCCAATTTGACTTGTTTTTTGCAAGCCAAAGCCTGAAAAATAATATCTCTCTCCATCACAGAGGAAGCAATTTGGCCATAAGCTTTTCACGGTCTCTTTCTATTATGTGCTCAGCTACTGTTACAACAGACAACAGAAATAAAACCAGTAATGATGGGACAGAGTTATGACTACTAAGTACTTCAGCTGAAACCAGTGATAATTTGTTGACAATATGTAATTTCTCAGATCTCAGCATGGAAACATCTCAACTGGGAAAAAACCTCCCAGCCAAACAATCAAAATCACATCAACCTCCTAAAAAACCCCAAAACCACACACAGGCATCCGTAGACGTGAAGGAAAGAAAGTTATAGGCAGAGAGTCCGGTTTTCAGAAGTGCTAGAGCTTTAACTGACACAAATCATCAAGACCTCTGAAAAATCAGGTCCATAAAGAGCTAGTAAAACCTTTCCTTTAACACATCTCCACCCGTTCTGTGATTTAGTCCTGGAATGTACTTGCTTTTAAAATTTCTCTACACTTACTGTTTAAAACTTGGCCCAATCAAATTCGCTATAGGAAAAAGCTGTTAATGTCTGAAGGACACATGCAGGCTCTGAAAACTTTGGTAAACCTTGGTCCAATTGCTAATGAATTCCTAGTTCTCATCCAATATATAACATCACAGTTGTACACATGACAAAGGCTTCACAGAGGGCTCAAGGTACCAGCAGGATAAGGAGAGCAAGACCTTTCATTTAACAGGAATAATTTCAAGGAAGAGTTGAATCCCATTGCTGGGTGATCTCATAATATTGCCTCCTTTGCTATATCCATCTAGAGGATAAATCAGAGACTCTGATCAGCAGTGCTAGCAACTCAGAGTGTTTAAACACCCTGAACCCACTTTAAATGCTTCATTTTTCTTCCTTCGGCAAGTTAATTCCTGCCCTGTTCCCACAGTCCTACCTATTTCTTTAATAAATGATTTTTCATGGGCTAGAGTCGAGTCATCTAAGGAAGCAATCAGGAAGTTTTATTTGCAGAAGACTGCGTTGAGCACGCATGTGAAGTTCATTAATAATGTCTTGCCTGAGATTTCTCCCATTCTGAACCAGATGCTTCGAAATTGAACAGCTGCCTCTGGCACAGCTAAGGGTATTTTGTTTGGCAAGCACCACCACCGCTGTCTCAGGCCAGACTACATCATACATCAAATGACTTCACAGATTGTCTTTACAGCAGCATGGAATGAGCTGGTAAAACCCATCAGACTCCTCTTATACTTCTAGATATCCTCTGGATAAATCATACCTATACAATTGCCCACTGATGTTGTCCTCGGTGAAGTCTTCGGAAGACAAGATATTGTCATCAGCTGGGATGCTTCGGACCATTCTTTGGCCTGGTGAGAATACTTCAGATGACTTCATTTCAACTGCTATTTAAAAAAGAAACACAGTTCAGGGAGCAGTTTTCTCTTTACAGTTTTACTAGAAATACAATCAAGTCGCAGTTCCTGCTGTATGAAGAAGTCCTTGAGGTATTAGCAGGCTACTGAATTAGTGTGGCAGTGCACTACAACTCATCACCTGAGCAAAACAACTGCAACTGTGATACTTCCAGCCCTCTGCGGTTGGAAAATAAACTGGCTACACTTTGCAGTAGCAATGGGATAGGAGGATGCAGACCATCACTTCACATATATCAGCTAATGTCCACTACCTAATTAAAACCACAGCAACTCAACCACAGCAACTCAAACACTCAACTTGCACTTCTCTGTACAGATCCACAGTAACAGGCAGCCACTGCAGACAAAACCCAGTATTTTACACTTCTGTCAGACTTGCTTTCTTACACTAATGGGGAAGTGAAGTACAGTCAGTTTGCTGAGACACACAAGGCTATCAAGATGTGCAAGTTCAATAAAAGTTTAGGGAAAATGCCTAGCTTCATTCCTGCTGTGTTCAGGACAGGCTGCCGTCCTGATTTGCTCTCACATGCTGATATGAATGCAGATCAAGTCACTGTCAGACAAGCATTTCTCTGCCCAGTACATGTTCTGTCTGACATTCAGCATAATAAGCTCAGTAAGATGACCAGGGTTCATCTTTAGTCCACAAGTTTTCTGCTCACAGGAGACAAGAAAGGAAAAGTGCCAGAATTATTGATTTACCAAAGTGACAAAAAGGGAGGATGGACCCAGACAAAGTCAGACCAACCCAAGAACAGCTGAATATTTCCAGGCATGGAGGACATTAAGAACTGTTCTTATTTTTAGAAAACAAAAGAGGATCAACATTTCCTGAGGCTAAATTTAGCCTCCTTGAGATAGATATGAGCTTGATGATGCTAATTGTTCACATGAAGTTTTTATTCTGTTTTTTCACTCTTGATCTCTTACTATTCATTTCATGACTTGCCTGCATGAAACTGAGTCCCAAGGCATTCATGTGATCCTGGCAAACACATATTCTGAAGTGAGCAGCTTTCTGGTACTGCAGAACGACCATCAGACCAAGATCAGAACTCAACAAATTGCATATCTACTGAACAGCAAAGATGTTCGGCAGGGAATGATGAGGGCCTCTAGAAGTAGTACAATTATTTTTACACCTTTCTGTCATGTACTGTTCCCTGCTGTATCTTAGAAGGCACTAGAAGAGAAAGGGTTTATTTTCCATTGTCTTAAATTACAGCCTTTCTGATTTAAATATTAGAAACCCCACTGCCTTCTGGAAAACAGGAGCTATCCAAAGACCCAGTTCAATTATCATTATGTAGAATGAAAGTCCTGTCACTGACATAACAAACAAGGGGTCCAGCAGTGCAGTCTCTTTTTTCACTTCTCTTCTCCTACTCCTCATTTCTAAGTCCCAAAAGATAAGAACGACAAGCACATATGTCACTGGCTACTTGCAAAAACCCGGAACCAAACTCAGGCAATCCTTCAAGTAGTCTCAGTGTTATTTTATAGCCTGTAAGAATATGTAGAGAAATGTATAGAATTGCCTCTGCCACAGAAGAATTGTTTGTCTTTTCGCATTTATAATGCATGTAAACTTCCAATATGCTCTATATTATGACCTCCAAGATTTTCCTACAAGAAAAGAGTATAATCCAGTAGTCTTATTAGTAGCCATCTGCACTTAATTTTCACTGAAAACAGATAAACTTTTAGACATAGGTTGCAAGCAAAGTTCTGGCAATATGAAGCATTAAAGTGGGCAGGCACTTCTTCAGCATGAAGGTTTTGAATCAATATTCATCAAAAATTAACACCATTTATATTGCTGACTTACTGAGGCTCTCTGTTTAAAACTCCTCACAAATCTATACAAGGAAACTATCAGACAGCAACAGCAGCACAGAAAAAGTGACAGAGATGAGTGAATGCATTTCACTGGCAAGATATTATCAAGATGTGGTTCAGAAGGCATGTTGACCTCTGAATGGCTGCATAACGCCTTAGGAATTTCATCCAATTACACTTTAAAACAGCAAATACGAACACTTTCAATATCTTCTTGGCTTAACTTCCTTTACAAAGCATGACCACGTAAAAACCCATTCTTATTTTCTTCTCTATAGGAAAACTGTCAAGTCAGTATGCTTTTGACTAATTTACAATCTTTGCTGATCTGAGTTGCAGCCCTGGGATGAGCTCAGTTGTACTCAAGGTGTTACTGTGCACAGCAAGCTGAGGACGGAAACTCTCATTCCTGCACAATAGCAAGAACTCAAGTGCCCATCTTGGACAGAAGCTTCACCTGCTTCTATCATACAGCTTCCATTCAGCATGTTGTATTTATCAGTTCTAAGGCATTATGCAAGCAAATTCCTGTCTGCAAGGCCTCGGTTACTTTTCTCAGAATCCCTTTCATTTCCTTTAGGAAATTTAAAAAAATAGAAGAGAAAGTAAAAAGTATGCTCTTCCTTTACTGCTTCAAAGCATATTTTTCAGCAAAGTAAAGGCACGCTTTGTTTCAACCTATTAATTCTGTCCCGGATATGCTGCAAGATCCTTTATCTAAGATTGCTGAACATTTTACCTTAAATCCATAACTGGAAAATGTTAATGAATCTCTGCAAGAAGGCAGAAACTCCCACATTCAAAGTTCCATGATCTTGTGTATATCAGAAATTCAGAAATCAAATATTTCAGAAGTCTATACCCTTTTAAATTCCACCACATGTTTCTGAGCTCTCAGGCCCAGCTGAGTTTGCATTCATTTCAGCTGAAGCTGCAAGGGCAGAATCTTTAGCAGCATCACCCACAATGCAACTACACAGCATCAGGCTGCCCATCCTCCACAACCTTGGATGGTCTGAATGCAGTTGCAAATCGAAGCAGAGAACTGCAGCTGCCTTCAACCTTAACACAGAGGTCCAGCCAAGAGAGCCTGCAGGTGCCAGCAGACAGTGATTCATTTAGATCCAAACAAGGGTATATTTGATCAAGCAAGGGGCTTTGCCTGTTGGGAAGTGCACTGTCTTTGGGCTGCAGCTCTTTCCTTCGGCGGAGGACATTGCAGAGTGAAATACAGTATCCTTCATGCATCAGAAGCCCTTGGTTTGATCATTGGCACTTCCACAGGAAACAAGATGGAGCCAGGCGAGTGAAACCATTGGTGTCTGCTGACCACAGATTACCTTCTGCAGCCATTCACTCAGCTCCAGCCAAAGTCTACTGTGTGCACCAAGGTCCTGCAGACTGACCCAGGGTCTATAAACAAAGGGACATCTCCACACTACAACAAAAAAATCTTAATCTACAATACACAAGCCAGGGCCCCAACAGCTGCCCCAGTCAAGAAAGGCATCAGCAATTAACAACAGCATTCACAGACTATCCTTACATGAAGGGGAAATGCAGAGGTCAGAAATACTGGACTGGCTCCCACCACAAATGGGAGAATGACCACTCGGAGGAGATTGCAGCTTCTCATCCCCATCGTGACAAGAACTGGAATCGTTTTCTGGCCTGGAGGAGAAAGGAGAGTGCAGGGTGAACGCTTACAGTACAGTTGCATGAGAGTAAATTCTAATTTCTTCTAATTGCCTGTAATGACATAGTAGATATTGAAATTATTTTGTATTTCATATTGCAAACCAGTGCTAAAGACCTAACTGCTTGACTGTAGCTCCCCTAAACCAGCTGACATCAGATGTATTTGAAATTAACATTTTTTCCTACTGCAATTCCTACTGCAATAAAAGAGCCGAGGAAAGGAAACTGTAACTGGAAAGGAAACCATAACTCCCTGCAGTCTGAAGATCTAAAATACCAGCATGACACTTAAAGAAAAAGACTGTAGAAATGGGCCTGAGAGGTCTTCAAAAATTAGCTTTTTCAAGGATTTAAGATTCACTCCTGAATATTACAAGGATCTCACTTTAAAGAGCAGTATGCAACACAGACTTAAAACAAAGTAGGTGAGAAGTAGAACTCTTGATTTCACACAAGAGAGGTGGATCAGTGAGAAACTGAAGCAGCTGAAGGACAGAACAGGAACACAACTGCTTAATAGTAAGCAATAAAACACAGCAAAAGCAAGAGGGGTGTGAAAAAATGTGTGAAAAGAAGTTGGCAGACACAGAAAGCTCCCTGTCCAATATCAGGTTAAGGTAACTAAACTATATCTCTAGTGAAAAGGATGCAGTCCAAGGAGGCAGTTAATGATTTCACAGCTCAATTAGTTTCTAAGGAACAGCTAGCAGAATATTAAGTAGTTCAATCCCCCTTGAGTGATCTCAGCCAGCGAGTCTTTAAAGAGGAGGGAAAAATGAAAAAAAAAAGAAAGAAGGCAGTTTTCCAGTATTTCCTGACTCCCTCAGCTCCATACAGCAAGAGCTTGTCCATACAGGGATCCCATGACAATTCATCTGAAGTAACTACAGCCTTGTCTGCACTGGGAAGTCATAGAAAAATTAGCATGGAATAGCTGCTACATGTGCAGTGGCTATTCTGCATTAATTTTCAGTGTGAATACTTCTATTCAGCACTAGAAATCTCCACCCCTCCTCCTCCTTTTGGAGGTTTGAACCAACAACTCAAAGAGATACGTTATAATATCTCCAACTGCTTCCTCTTTCATGATGTTTTTAAACGGAATATATTACGTGGAGTGTTACATGAAGAAATTCAAACAAGTTATATTCACTTCAATTCTGAATGGAAGCATTTACATAAATTTTTAACGAAATTTAACTATTCTGATGAATCAAAAATTTCCGATAATTCAGATCAACTGTCCTGGATTGTATCAGGTAGATAAGTTGTATATGAGGCAAAAGTGTTTAACATTTTTCATAACTTTTCATCTGATACAAGCCACTTAAATACATCCAGTTCAGATATTGCTTTCAAATCAAGGCAGATAAGATTTTACTGTCTTCCTCTTGCAATAATTCCTAAGCAAGCATTTCCTCATTTTAGTCAATGAATTAGTACTAAAATTAGAACAGCATAAAAGCCATCAAAGCTTGTCCTTTTCTGCTGTAAAATGTAGTTCAAGAATGTCTTCATCTATTCACTGCAGTTTTCTTGTGCACAAATTAGCTGGATAGAAAGGACAAGCTTCTCATTCAGGGTGGTATCACTTGTTTCCTACTTAAAACGTGTGAGCATCAAACACTCCTATTTTTTCTACCATTTGGCCAGAGTAGGAGGGAAATGAATTTTCAGATATTTTCACCTCGTTAGATTTCTGCTGTTTACATTTTTCCTTCCTACTTTACACAGTGGGGCAACCTGTAAAGGCTGCTTCACGCCTTCAAACTAACACTTCTCTTAGACCCAAAGCTACCAGAACCAGTATGGCAGAAATGTGTTTTTAATTCATCTCCAGCAGTGACCTGAAGCTGTCTTGCAGAGGCACAAGCTGCACAACTGTTCAGCTGAGGAGATTCAAGTTCCGCCAAAATGTGCGTCACTCCAGTATCCCGGGACGCTTAAACAAACACACTGCCCGGGTAGGTGGTGGTAAAGAGAGGCACGAGATCACTTCCAGAGGTTATTTCTGATGCGTAAATTGCAGTGCACTACATGGCACCATGAAATAAAAAGCCACTCCCAACAGGTCTGCCACCGGTTTTCTGACTTCCCATAAGAAAGTCAATTCATTCTCACAAGCTTGGTTTTCTCTCTGCTTACAAAGCAGGAATGTAATGCTTAGACATTTCAGTGGTAACCAAGATTTTTTTTCCTGAAAAAATACTTTCTAAATAGGCTGTAAGGCTGCCCTAACAGCCAGTTCCACAGAATCAGTCCAGGTCTCCTAGTCCACCATGGGATAAATACTGCACAGGGAAAGTGGGACCTTGAACTCTGTAACACTGACCCCACAGTAAAGTGGCAACATATGTTTAGTCATATTTTAGCTAGGCTAGATTTTTAAGGCCTGCAGCATTTTTGGAGGACTGCAGGAAAAAGATTAGATAATCACTATGTTACTAATATGAGCTTATATTAATTAGTTGCTGTTTTCTGCTGACATACAAACACACAGATTTAACACGTAGGGAGAGGTCTTGCAAAAGCTGTGGACACTATGATAGTGCAGAAGGTTGACCACAGTGAGAAAGGACACAAAGTAAGAACACCAAATTCACACTCAGGCTATACCAGGCAGATGAAGTAGATGCCATGTTCAAGTAGATGCCATTTTATCTAGGTTAGTACTCAGAATAAAAATTAAGACTGCAAGACAAATTCTGCCCTGGGATAGCCAAAGGTTTTTTTTTTCCTGCTTCGGAAGTGTATGTTTCCTTCATCTGGCTTTTTAAAAAAATAAATGTCATCTCGTCATTTTTCCACACCCAGATCTGGTACGTTACACTTGTCTGTTCTAAGGCCCTGGTAACCTAATATGTTTAATCCCATACAAACAGTACACCTGCCAAAAAGACATATTTGGATGGCTCAGGAGGGCTCCTAGTCAGATCATCTGTTTGTAGGAATGCTAATGCCAGCACGAGACAGTAGGAGGGAATAAACATGGGCAAGATAAAGTTGCGACCGCTCCTTGTCCGAAACAACAACAGACTTCAGTCAGATTCAACTACACCTGTGTAACTACAGCCTGAATCAGTCCTCACTGTCCTCTGTATCCATCTTCCACACTGAAAAGAGGAGGAAATGTATCTTAAGAAAATATGAACGTGAAAGCAAACAGTGGCAGGGGGGATGACATGGGACAATCATCAGCACTGATGGGTTCTTCTAAGAACCACATCTAACTCCACTGCACTGTTCTGTTTCAGGTTACCTGTTCACTTTAACACACTTGGCTATATCGATACTGTGACTTTTGAGTACCTGTTATTCATCCTTTGTTAGACATGTAGTCTCTCAGATTAAGGATCCACAGAAATGAAAACATGAAATCCTCGCAATAACAGCTGCCTGTATTGTAGCTACCTAGATTTGACCAAATACAAGACTGAATGGAACTGAAAGTAAAAAAATCATTTAAATTTGAAATCTCATTGGTATTTTACTTCCATGGTCAGGACAGTGAGCAGGACAGGTATCATCTCAGAAATTAAGGCACTCAACTATTTCAAGTATGTGACCTCAGCCGATGGATCTTCCTCTGTCTACAATATTCCACTCCTTTTTTTGAAATTATCTTTAAGGAATGACAATGGCAATGCACTTTTAGGTAGGGAAGGCTTATTTATTAGGTACTGTTGTGGTTTTTTTCTTTGTTGTTGTTTTGCTTTTTAAAGGAGTTTAAAAAACTCAACTTGGTCTCATTTGTTTGGACTTACATTAGATAGGCAGTTCTGCGATAACCTGGTGTCACAGGTCTCTGGAGAGGCTCATCTATACTCTGATGGACACCAGAAAATAGCTTCTTCTTAGTTTTTGGAGTATGAGTCATTATCTGATACACAGAAAATGAAGAAAAAAAATAAATCAGTGGAAAGACAAGTAATTGGAGCCACAGAGAACATTCTATAGAAACACTGCATCAGAAACTATATCACATTCTGGTGTCACTAGATAAAACTGCCTGGAATCACTGTAGGCTCTTCCATGACATTTTATCTCAGGTCATGTTTCCATCAGCAGCATTGGACTCTGGGATCTCGAAGGCATAGAGTTGCATTTATTATAGAATGGTTTGGATAGGAAAGGTCCTTAAAGATCACCTATTTCCAACTCGCCTGCCATGGGCAGGGACATCTTTCACTAGACCAGTTGCTCAAAGCCTCATCCAACCTGGCCTCAAACACATTCAGGGATGGGACATCCACAGCTTCTCTGGGCAACCTGTGCCAGTGCCTCACCACTCTCACAGTAAAGAATTTCTTCCTTATATCTAATCTAAATCTACTCTCAGTTTAAAGCCATTCCCCTTTGTCCTGTCACTATATGTCCTTGTGAAAAAGTCCCTCTCCAGCTTTCTTGTAGGCCTTTTTTAAGGACTAAAACCCTACAATAAGGTCTCCCTGGAGCCTCCTCTTCTACAGGCTGAACAATCCCAACTCCCTCATCTTGCTTTCATAGGAGAAGTGCTCAGCCCTCTGAATATCTCAGATTAGTCACAGCACACTAAATGGCATTCATACAAACTTTATGCTTTTTTTCTTAATAGCTTTTTGCCGCTTGAAGTAAGACAGACAATACTTGATCCAGCATAACGCCTGCAGGAGCAGTTAACTTTTCAACTTTTTTTTTTTTCAAAATAATTTCACACCAGCAGAATGTTCCAGTATTAACCTGCTCAGTACTTTGCTTTGTGTACCCAGAGTGTCACTGATGTAGCACTAGAACCCTAAAGCTGCCTGTAGCTTATTATTAAGCCATAGCCTGACCACGCCCTGTGAAAGGGTAGCTCATTTCCCAGACTTGTTCTACTTCTCCTGAACAGCAGCTCCTGCAGAGACTGTGAAAGATTCATATTGCTATGCGGGTAGCACCTGGCTCTTCAAGCAACAAATTGAAGAAAGCGGTGAAACTACTGAAATTAAACACTTAATCCAGCAAATTAATTTATTTCAATAGTCTAATGAGTGGTACTTACTCCCAAGTACTCCGTTGTTAGCAGCTTCTCCCCTGCAAGCTCTCCCAGCTGAGGCTGCAAAACCTCATTTTTGTCCAGATCAGCCTCCATGATGTCATGGTCCTCCTGCAACAGCAACATGCAGGTTTGCAAGGAAGCTTTAAAGCTGATAATACGGGGCTGGTACAAATATCTTGGAATCAGTACTTTAGGATATAAATATCATACACAAAACCCAAATGTAATCAACTTCAAGTAAAAACTACGAAGAATTCACTCTCCAGTACCTATTTCTAAAATAACTATGGGTGATTAACCTTTCATGGAAGATCTGCAGCTCCTACAGAGCCAGGAAATTTTAAAGTCTGAGGGACTCCTCCAGCAAACCAAAACTAGTAATACAAGAACAAGGCAGTGCTTTGCTGCTAAAAAGAATTCTTTTCTGTCCTGCACAAGATACCTTAAATAAGACCCACTCCACATGAAGAAAATGTGCTTTGCTTTTGAAACAGGTTGTGACAGTAAATGTTAATGATTGTCAGAAAAAGTAAATGAGAAAAAGTACAGAAATCATTCTAATAAGATATATTGTAATAGTAATGTAGAGAGCCTGTCATAAACTCCTTTAAAAACAACAGCCAATGGACTTTAATGAGCCCCAGAGTACAAAGAAAATGAAAAGCAGTTTCAATTTAGTGAGATTTAGACTTAGCTTTACATAGTCAAAGTAAGAAATACCCTCTGCCACAAAGATTAGCCAATAACATGGATGCCTGGACAGTGCTCTACAAAAAACCCATGAAAAATATTAGAAGTGTGTACAGAGGATGTATTTCCTAGAATGGAAATGGCTGATAACTGATTCCAGTCTTTGTCTGGTGCAAAACAACAAGACTACCATTGCTTGGAACAAGTAGGTGTTGGCTTCCCCAGAGCTCTGCAGGCTTGCCTTTTTTTTCAAGTTAATTGAACTTTGTATCAAATGGCTTAAACCCCATAATTTTTGATTTAGCTATTCTCATTGCTCATCACCTTCTCATTCACAGATGTCAAGCAGAGGTAAAAAGTACAGACACAAAGGGCTCAATTCAGTAGCCCAAGGCACCATCCAGTCCTGCTTTGAAATATCCTGTCTGGTCTTCCACTGCAGCTCTGAAAGAGCACAAGCCTCCTACAGGTCCCAAGTCACATCCCACAGCCTTGTGCAGGTGTTTCTGATGCTGTAGTTAAACTTTAGAGACATTAGATGCCCGCATGTGAAGAACTGTAGTACTTACAGAAATACTGCCAAAAATATACAGTGTTCCAAGGTTTAGAGTAAAATTTTTCCATAATGTATTTGTTCATGTATGGATTTATTAAAAAACTTAATTCTTCTGTATCTTAGTTTTTCTGTAATTTACCAGATTGTTAATCCTCTTTATCCTCCTAAAGATGTATTCTCTAGATGCTCAGCCATAGAAGATAAGGCTGTATAGGACCTCAGGAAGATGTTCAATCTGCCTTTCTCTCCAAGGCAAGATAAATTACCATCAGCTCTTAATCACCTGAAAATCTGGGTATGTGTGAAAAATAACCCAGATAATGGGAGAAAGATAAACACTTGCAGACTAGGCAACAATCATCTCTATCAAGCAAAGCAAAAAAAAAACCCAACAAAAACTCACACTCCAAAGTCCGTAATATATTGTACTGGGAGGGGGGGAAGGGGGAAATTGCACAGATGAGCTCTATAAATAGGTCTGATGGAATTTTCTTTTACATGGTTTGTTAATGCAGCCAATTTTGCTCCCTGATGTTATTTAAAATAACAGGTAACTGAGCCTGAAAGTGTCCCTGCTCTGTCTCCTTGTACAAAACAAGAACTTTGCCCAACGTGCCATCATTCCACTACTGAAATAACACAATTGGTGCCCTGTTCAGCACTGCTCACAGGCTGCAGTAGATGTTGGCAGCAAAGCCCTGTAATGTAATGGCTTGAAGTCCTGGGATTAAGCTCTCTCTCTTTTGATGTGCTCTCTAGCTGAAGTGTATTTTCACACTGCAGTTTACTGATTTTATTGCCAGGTGCTGAGTGACGGTGGATCAGAGGGTGTCTGATAAATCATCACTGTACAGTTATCTAACACAGCTCCAGCTTGTAACTAAACTTTTGAATTAGAGCTGCAGTATCACATATTCACTTTTACAAGCAGCTTTTTACGATGGTCCAAGTCAAATAAAAAGAAAATGTAAAGATCAAATACTGAAGATAAATTAAGTTAGTATTTAACAGACCAGTCAAGAGAGTATTAAGCACCAGAAAACACACACCGACTGTGGGTCTCAACACACGGCAGATGGCAACGTCTCAAAGTTGGGTATGTGCTCCAGGAGTCAGTGTATCCTGAGCTAGTGAACTTAAAGCTCACCAGACAAACTCAAAAGCCAATTTATTTCTAATAAGAGTATACACATTTATATTTTTTATTTGGCTTATATGCTCCAGTATCACAAAGTACAGAATCTTAAATTTCTGAGTGTGTGATACTCTTAGAAATCTCAGAATTTTCCTCTAACAGGCTCAACTGCATCTTGGCCACAGTGTCTAGGAGGAAGTAGTCATTACCACAAGATTTGCTCAAAGCCAGGAGAGAATTCATCAGTGCTAAATTAAACACAGATAAAAGCAAAAAAATCCATGAAAGGTAATTCTAATAGCAAGGGGAACTTTCACATGTTCTTGGAAACAATAAAAGCTGGGGCAAAACCTGCAAACTAAGTCTCCTAAGAATGTCTGTTTGTTGTTTCTTAAGTTCTAAAGGTGTAAGTATCCTTACTGAGCAACCAATGCATTCAGTCTGCAGTAGTTTAAAAGTCAAGTAAAGGCAAGACTGGTGATAAAGTTTTCCAAAACTTTCTGTTGCCAGATCACCATATCAGATGTTATCAGGAACGCCATCAGAGAACAATAACTCACTGCAATTCCAAAACACAAAAGGCCTCCAAGCACTGAAGTAGTGAGTCAACAAATCTTTGTTTATTTAACAAAGTAACAACATTTTGCTGCCATGTTGTTTGTAAAGTATATTTTCTAAACTGAGGGACTAAGAAACCAGGCGTCCTTGCAGCAGAACTGAATTATAGTTCCCAGGAGCAATAAGGACTTAAAATGTGTTGCAATTAATGTTACACTAGAAAAAGTTTTACACTTCGTTTAACAAGACTTTTTCTTTTTAATATACTGGCAAAGGTAATGAAAAACTGGAATTGGACACTTCTCTGTTTCAAAAGACTACTGTCATTTTTTGAGTCAAATAATAAGAAGTGCCAGAAGCCTGTTTTAATCACATGGTAGTTCAGTGGCAAAAACGCATTTCAAAATTATTTGACCTAGAGCCTTGGCTGGGATTGTGAGCAGCAGCAACTCATCTAGAGGGTATGACTGAACAGAATTCATCCTTTCACTCCCAAGAGCAGGTAAAGTGATGAAAGTGTTCAACATTATCATGCAATTCAATGCCACACCTTTCAGGAAGGAGTTCATTATCTATGTGTTTTCCCACCAAAAGACAGTATCCTTCAAAGAAGTATACTGCAGTTCAAGCAATAGTGCAGCCACCTTGGATTCTCAGGATACATCTAAGACACTCAAAGCCTTGGAATATCAGTTAAAGGGTGTTAAGCAGCATTTCAAACAAAGGGAAGTTCTAGTGATTAGTCCCCAGGAAGCCAATCTTGCAGGGCAAGCACTGATTTTGGTGGGAGGAGTGGAAAGATTATCAAAAAGTGACTTCAGGACTGCAGGAGGTGAAACAATTACAGTAATCTAATTCTATTTAAAAAAAAGTTAACTGTACCCCCTTAGAACAAAAGGGGGAGAGCTGATTGTTAAACAAAACTTCCTTCTAGTTCTAAACTTAGAATTTCCACATAGCTCTAAATTTAGGTAGAGTCACAAGGGTGATTAGTTCACTGTATTCACCAGCTATTGTGCCACAACACAGAAAGTAGATAAGTAATGCAAGCAGTGCAAGGCTTCCCTGGACACTGCCAGGCAAAGGCTGGATCCTGCAAGGTGCTTCACCCCAAAGCAGCTGAGAGCACACTACACCTGTTACAATCGGGATATTTACATTTTTATCTGCTTTCAAAACATAAAATGCTCAACGTGCACCCTGCAGTAACAGGGCAAGCTTTAGACTGTAGCATGGTTGTCACCAGTCACTATAATTTCCATTAATGTGCAAGGAGCTACTGAACACAACTGACTTAGTAAATTTTATGTGCCTTATTCTTCGTTGGTTGAGACAAAAAACTTTGATTCACACCTTGCTCTGCTTGTTAATTTAGGTGATCAAATATGCTGTGTTGTCTACTCCCATTAATCTATGAAGACAGTTTCTTTAAAAATGCTGAAATTTTGGTATAAAATTCATTTATTAGTAGAGGTAGAAATACACAGCTAACCATGTTATATTTACTATGATATAGTTTCTCATGCTTACTTCATTTTTTGAAATTTTATTTTCTCACGGGACTCATTCCTTAGGTATAATTACTGTTTTTCTTCATTACATTCAAGCAATTTATTAAATATACTTCAAAGTTTCTAAACAGCAAAAGAAGTCACACCCAGAATAGATAGTGATACTTTAAGTAAAAGTGACAACCTGTTTATAAACTATTTTGGTAATATGCAGGTTCATTTGCTTCCTTTATTTTTAACTGCTGAAATGGGTCTGATTGAAAGCAAGATTTCTACTGCTACAGTAACTCCTCATCTCTTCACTTGTGTCAAGCTATAATCTTTTAGTTATCACAGAGGTGGTGAGTTGCCAAAAGAAAACAGTAGGACTTCAAATGAAGAAAAGGTAGTGGAAACAGATCAATTTTCTTACTAAAGCAAGAATAACTAAACAAAAGGAAAAAACAAAACCGAAATCCACCAAAAAACAAAGTCTGGTTTATTGGCATAAATATTTTCTGGTTAGAAGGTTAAGGATTTTTCTAAAAGGTGTCAGAAGGCTTTTATACTTACTTCCTCGTCCTCCTCTTCATCATCAGACACAATACCATCATTTAATGGCTCTTCTAAAAAGAAAAAACCACAAAATTATGTAAGTTCAGTTGTACATGCACAACTTAACAGAATTTCATTATTACCCCACTTTGACAAGAGCAAGAGTTAGCTTGCTTCTCATACAGATGCCCCATCCTTTTCCAGACAACTATTGGAATCATTTGCTCCTATAAAGCATTCTAGAAACCACCAAAATCAATTCATATTTGGAAAAATGGTAGAAATATAAACACTCTGGAATTTTTATTTTCTCATAAAACCCACTGTGATGTCTCACTGTATTTACTGACAAGACTTGAATGGAAGAATGTGCACTTGCTAGTTTGTCTATTTTTCAACTAATTTTTAATAAAAGACTCTACTTCTCCCTACAAACACTTCAATATTATACTGCTTCTGTACATAAAAAGTTAGTACTCATGTAGAATACTTCTAACTTTTGGACAAAATTATTTCCTTGGAAAAAGCAGCCAGGCTTATGCTGGAAAACTGCACTTAGTTGGACTCACCAATCAGACAAAGCCTCTTAAAAATACCATTCCCAGGTAGAAGAGGAGCAGTTCCATAACCCTGATGAACAGTTTTTGCATAGTGGCAATACAGTGCTTAAATACTTTATTTGTTCTGTCACAAGCTACAACTGTAATGTCTTTTACAAGCTAGAACTTTAATGTCTTCTCTTTCTGAAAGCAAAAGAAAGCAGTCAAACTTGTTCTATGTTTACTGTACAGAAAGATTTAATCAGAATTAATCTCTTTTTCATTATTTGCTCTCTCTTTTTTCAGCCTTCCTTTCAGTCATAAGGATCGGAAAACAGAATAAATATTCTACGTCCTCATCCCTGTCTGTATTAACACAGCAGCTACATCAACATACTCTCCAAAAAGGATGGTCTCTGATAGCCATTTCAGATAAAGCTACACCTCAATAGAGCAAGAGATGAGCACAGACAGATCTAGTCCTTAAATCCTGTTTTACAAATTTGTATCACATTTTTGCAGTTGACAGCAGTCTCTCATTACTGTGAGGCCACTGGCATGAGAGTAAACAGTCAAGGTCATTCTATTTACAGTCCCCAAACTCTGGAATTGAGACCTACTCAGCCTTTTATATCTTCTTTATAATTGTAACATAAAAGGAAATTTTAAAATACATCTGACTTTCAAATCCTGACATTCACTATTCACCCTCTCTCAGACCATCACAGTATTGTTATTCTTTGAGCGTTCCAACGCCAAGTGAAAACATGAGCTTTTTTATGGTTTTTGTGAAAGATTTAAAGCTCTGATAGCTGCATCTGTTCTTCTGACCTGAATTGAGCTGCTTGATAATAAATTCAATCTGTCGGATCATCTCTGCATTTCCTTCCTTGATAAAACAGCGCAGAATTTCTTCCATTCCCTGGATGTAGCAGAAAACATTGCTAGATCAGTATTTCATGTGATCACACTGAAAGAGTTTTGTTAGCTAAAACCTCTCTTTTTTTTTTTATTGTCAGGAAAAACAGGGGCAGTGTGAAGCAAACCACTGTGTCCAGCTCCTAGTGTGCCCTACACAAAAGGAATAAGCTGTCTAGATTGCTTCTAGGTTTAAATACAGACACATCCATGATGAACAGCAAATTTTCCCAATAGATCTGCTGCTTCTGCCTTCTGAACTCAGTACACAGTAGTCGTCAGAACAGGGCAAATTTGCATCCACAGAGACAACAGTGCAAGGTTCAGAGGGAAAAAAAAAAAGCAGAACCCACTTTGACATTAAACCCACTCTCTCTTTATGGCTCCTTATAGGGTTGATGTTGTGTCTTTAATCATTTAAGATGACTTCCAATCCTCTGCGCTCTGTGAGGTAAAACACCTGACAACAATTATGTCTGCATAACTCTCTGGGTTAGTTCTTCAGATACAAAGACATGCTGCTATCCCAGGAGCAGCTTCCTCAAATCCAGAAGCTAAAACACAGTCATTAGCACTAGACTAACTTCCACAGGAGATCAGTTCCCAGTTCTAAAACCTTCCTCCTGCTGCCTTCCACAACTAACTACACCTATACCAGGAAGAAGTAAAAGCAGTACGAGGAATTCATCCTTTTAGTGGCTACCCACTGGTGCAGAATGAGTTACATAAACGGAAGAAGTAGCAGGGCAGATGAAAGCATCTCCTGGGCCACTTGGAATGTACAAAACGCTGGAAGGACATACTGTTCTAAAATATTCTACTTTTTAATTTAGACAGAATCCCTCACACTGCTGGGGGTCCACTTCTGGGAAAAAAAATCAGCAAATATGGCAAAAGCATTTGAGACATACATTCACACTATCCTGAGCATCTTGTGTGTTCCCTTCTCAGAATGTCCTGCTCAGCAGGTGCCTGTGTGGGCCATCTCTGGCACAGGCACTGATCTCCGTGCAGCACTTCTTACCATTGCTCTGGCTTTTTCTCGGACAGAAGGGATGGCAAGAATGCTGTAGAGTGCTCCATTCACATATGGTTGGATCTGAGAGGAAGAAATAATCGTATCACTAAGAAAAACGCTTACGCTCATCCCAGTTAACTATAAACAAAATGTAAGAGTGAAAGTGCAGAACAACTACACTTCAGAGAGTTAGACCAGGCTAGACAGGACTTGCAAAAATTCCCACTTGGGAAGCAATGAACTTTCAGGATGCAAATATACTGTGATACAGATATAAATCAGTATTGCTATGTGCCAATTTCAAACCTTCTGCCTTCCAAAAATGTATTCTTGCAAATTGACTTAGCCATGGGAAAAAAAAAAAAAAAGAGAGAAAAAAGGAGAGAAAAGCAGAAAAAGGTTAGTTTCTGATAAACACTAGTGGCACTACAAAAAATAGGACAAAGAACAGGGACAAGACCCTGTCAGCATGAACTCAAGACAAGCTTCAAACATTGTAGCCTTAGGCAGGATGATAAAAGCTGTAGCAGCTTCAAACACTTCACTGCCTGTTACTGTCCCTCAGGAGAGGCAAAAAGCCAGCCAGCATGAAAGCTCTGAAATATGGTTAGTGAAAGCCACCAGATCTGTCAAACACATTTTATCAGCACTTATGTGACCCTTTCAATTGGCCAGTTACTTTTGCAGCACTAAGATTTTCAGTCATCCTGTCTATACCTTTGGAAAAATGAACAATGAGCTAGACTGGAAGCAAGGGGAGACAAGGGAAGATAAGGGACTGGGATTTACACAAGGATTCCACAGCTCCTCAGGAAGCTCTCCAGACACCCAAGAGCACTGTCTTCTACCTTTGATAATAAAACTTCTGTCAGCTTTTCTGGAGCAAACTGGGTTGTAAAAATGCACCCCCGAGAGAAAGTTCAAAGTCATTTTAAGGCACAGACTTCAACAATATGGTAGCATTTTCTAAGTATTCCAATCTAGGGACTGAGATGTTATTTTGTATTAATATGTATTGTATTAAACTTTCATCATTCACAAAAACCAAGCTAGTGAAAGAGTCCAATAAAGGTATGTCAAGTTTCATCTTAATAAAAAGTAAAGAACTGATCTACATCTTCTAATGAATTTACAAAACACAGACTAAGCATTTCATTGAAATTTATTCTCTTTTTTCAGTTCAAGTTATAAACAAAAAAACCCCTGATGACTCAGTCATTGCATGTAAACATAAGACACTAGAGTTCATATTTCACTTTTAGCACAAGTCCCCAGACACCTTGCACAATCATCACGGAATCACTCTAGAATATCCTGGTAAAAATTCTGCCTCCCTGAATTCAGTCTGTACAGTATTTGCCTGCATTTCCTCCTGCCTTGAATTTTACTCCATGGTTAAAGAAGTGCCCCTCTGCAGAGACAGCTGAAGCAATGTTTTCTATATCACACATCAGGCATCAGAGTGATGTGCTGAAAAGTATTAGGCAGAAATAACCAATAATTTTTAGCGTTTTCCTCTAAAGTAGTTCAATTTAGCATCTTAGATGAAAGCGTGTCCAGAGACAGAAAGTCGTAGATAAAAAGATATTAGGGCTTGAATGTCAGGAGTGTAGTGTTTTCTTTTAGCATTCCTTAAAACTACTAGCAAATGTGCTTCTCTGCACCTAATGTTTTTCATAATGGAATTGCACCACACATTGCTCATCTCATGAACTAGTTAAGCTTGAGATGATTTGGTGCAAGATGAAATTTAAACAGGATCAGAAGCTACAATCAAGAAGGCACATGGACTGCATGGTAACTATGCATTTAAAAGACTTCCATTCTTAGCTGCCCACATTTGTTAAAGGAAGACATACTTATGGCTATAAAGACCAGTGCTCAATAAAATAAAATTTAAGGAATTGTGAATTTTAGGAAAATTTCATGCAACTTAATTACATGAGGGTCTAACAAGGGAAACAAAAGCAATTCTTTCTCCATTTTTTTCCTTTCTTGTTTTTTTTTCTTTTTTAATATTTAATTTTTCCTTCCACATTTTCATTAACCCAAAGTTTGCTGTACAGATACCTCATGATTCTCATGGCCAAGAAGATCAGAGAGAACTTTGAGCATGTGGTTTGCAATCCTTGCACACATTTTCTTCCCTGAAAAGGCAGAACACATAAATATGCTTGGAAAAATACAACAGATCTGAGCAATACTGTTGCTTGTTCCTGACAAATGCCGAATAATTGAGCTGAAATCAGTGAAGTTACTCTGGATTTATGCAGTTGTAATCTTGGACAGGATGCAAAGGGGTTTTAAAAAGTTTAAAAAGCTTAACAAAGGCATTTTCTTGTTTACAACAAGCAGATCGATTTTCCACCCCTTACCTTACTCTCCTTTTTAAAAGGAAATTTACTTTAAGCTCCTTTTAAGTCTCTTGGGCGTAGATACAACCTTATTTTCTTGGGGAGAATCTCTGTATTGCAGAAGTGAGTGAAGCAGGCAGGTATTTCACTGCACAAGGTGAAGGTTAAACTCCTCTCCATTACTCCTCAACCCAGTTCTTTCTTGCTTACTAAGAAATCTCTTACACAGACTGTGTAAGTGGACACAAAGTGTCCTTTGAAAAGTGGGTCTGGAATGTAGGAATAGCAGCCTTCATTGATATGAAAAAATAATCAAATCTTATAGGGTTCCACTGCTTATTTCCTTGCTTAATTCTTTAGAGTTTGGTGAAGCTAACCTCCATAATTGGGATTCTTGGGAAAAGAGATCCGCTCAAAAGCATTAGTTATAACACTCAAATATCTCTGGTCATGTAAATCGCTGCTACTGATTATAGTCACTTGAAAGAATCCTGGTATATCAGGAAAAAAAAAGATTCACAATCTTCCCTATCCATTTCTTGGAATAAAGTTGTAATTCAAAGTGTAAGACACCTGCACTCCGTAGACAAAGATTCATGAGCAAGGAAACAGAATATTCCAGGGTGTAATCAGACAGGCAATCTGTATCTGTTAGAACATCAACCAGCTGGAAAATGAGCCCATCTTTGATCATTGTAGACTGTAGTGCACGCCTAGGATTAAAAAACAAAAATCAGATCACAAATCACAAAAATCAGATCACTGCATAAATAGTTTTCAAATACATTTATAGCTAGTATAAACACATTAAAAACACACTAGCCTGCCAAAAAAAAAATCCCCAATATACCCATTTTGGCAGAATCATTAAACTAAGAAACTAAAAAAGCCTGAAGAAAGTGAAGATTCAGATTCCCATAGGTTAGAGGAGTAAAACATTGTTGGATAGGTTGGGGTGGTTTTGTCTTTGTTTTGTTCTTTTTAAACCTGTGAACTGCTGAGGTAAGTTTCTTCATTGTTTTCTAAGGCTTCTTACTCCACCTAAAATGGCATTTTCAATTGTCTTTTAAAATTGGTTTTAAAAACCAGCTACACACAACAGCTCCATAAAACAAATTAATTACTTCTCCTGACACAGGTAGCCACAGCACTGTAGCACTTTTGTACTGTTGATTTGACAAATGAGGTTTTTTGCTTGAATTTATTTGCTCTTTTCTCTAGAGATTCTTAAATCACATGTTCTCTTAACTCAACCTGCATTTGCCCTTGAAGAGTACACTGAATAAAGTGCCAGGTGGCCAACTGTGCTCTACAACTGAAATTCCATGCTTTACAATACAAAAAAGAAGTATATACTGGTAGAAAGGTCTTACTGAAGAACACAAATTTTAATAACATTATTTCCAAGAGGCAATAAGTTTAAATTGCAAAGATCAAAGCAGGTATTTTCCTAGTTTTAGTCCTGAAAGCTCACATACTTTCTCAGTGCTGGATATTGCAGCAGGTCTATGGCATGGACTAAGCAAAACAAGGGAGCACCTGACCACACGTTAAAAGAGTTTCCTTCACATCAAGAATTTAGAATTAAGCTCCTATAAGATTAACTGTTACTCTTTAGAAAATAAAAAACTTTCAAATTTTCAGCAGCTTAGTGCCTAGACCCCAAAATCCAAACTAACTTGTACTACCAACAACTGCTTTAATAGAAATATCATTTTCTCTGAGATTGGTTTAGGATTTCAAGCAGTAGGGTATGAAGATTTATTCCCTTTCATCACAGATACCTACAAGGTATCTCGTCAGAAAGCAGTGCAGAATTTTACACAAAGCACATTTATATGTGCTTCATCCAGACAAGTTCTAAATTAAGCAAATCCAAAGGCAGCCCTCATTCACCAACAAACCCAAACAAACAAACTCAAACAAAAACAAATGAACACTTGCAGTTTGAATTTAGAAAAAAATTGAATGCAAGTATCAAGAGCTAAACAATTACATTTAGTTAACTTACATTTAGTTAACTTACATTTAGTTAACTTACTTACATTTAGTTAACTTACTTACATTTAGTTAACTTACATTTAGTTAACTTACTTACATTTAGTTAACTTACACTTAGTTAACTATTTAGGGCTGAATATTGTTCCTGAGTACTATGAAAACAGAGTTCCTAAGATCATATTTATTTGATAAACAGAGCACCATCATACCCTTTACTGCTTTTGCATATTTCTTTTGTGGTGGGCATTTGAGTCAGGCTGCTAATGCAAAAGTAAGAAACAAGACAAGCCTTGCGTAGACAGCTCCAGGAAAGAGGATCAACAGGATGAAGATGAAATCCCTGAAAAATGTTTGCAGAAAGGATAATGCAAACCTTATGTCTGGAATGTAACACAACTCTTTTTTTCTGTGTAGGATCGTCAGAGGCTTCTACACTAAGATTTTCACTTTGTTCAGTTAAGGAACACATATAAAGCACACAAGGCTGTGGCAGGAGATGTGTATTTACTTGAGTCTGGACAGCTGGTAGGAAGTCAGGTTAATTCACTCAGCCAAACTGAGTTCTCCTCCATAATAAATGCCATTGCTTTCATCAGCCATCAGGGGTTCTGATGATTGTTATGGGAAAATCAAGTGCTCTTCTTTCCTCCTTGAACAGAGCCTAACTAGCCTGCATTTCCTCTCCTGCTGTCACCACCACATGCTGTGCTTTCATCACCTGAGGCTGAATTTCTGCAGAGCCCCCAGAACATTCTCCCATGTAAGGGAATCCTTGTCTTCAGCTTTCAGTCTCTCCTCCAGCATTCGCAGCAATGTTGGGTTCTGAGAAAGGTAGACACGACCTGGTGCAAAAAGTGATGAAAGAACAGATGCTGAGATATCAGCTGTGACAGAAAAGCTCCCTCTCCTTGGAAATGTAAGCAGGATTGACCTCTGGTTTCTTCTTGACAAGCCACAATCTTGTGCCAAAACCCAAATACACCTGCACAAATGAAGTTGTGTAGCAGACCAGTTGCCTTCAATCCAGACACTTGGGGCATTAGAGGCCCACACTTGCCAAATCAGTACCACACAGAATCCACTGTTCCTCTTTCAGGACATGCTTTCTGATCTATCACGGTTTTGTACACTCAAGGAAAAGAACAGAGGTGTCCAAAGAGCTTGGGAAAGTCAAGTGCCCTGCTGTTACTGACTTTAAGTGGGATTTCAGTTCCTAGCAATAGTTAGCTCCAAAAGTAGCAGCAAACCAAAGGCTAATTTGGGACAGGTGGAGATACAAAGCTGGATATAGATATGTATCTAGTTAGCAGTGATGCACAAAGATTTATTCAGGTGAGGACCACAAAAATGTAGGAGCAGACACAGTAGCCACTATTGCACAGCCTGGTACCAGGTCTGCTCACAGGACCGCTAATTAATGAGGATTTTTCTTTTTAACCCTCACGAAGAGACTGAAGACTATATTAAAGTTCCCACATAGACCACAAATCATCAAAACAAGTCAGAAATGCTGAATACACTGTGTCAAAATGAAAATTTTTTACATACTGAATGCATGTAACAAAAGACAGTGAATCCCTAGAAAAAGGGTGCAAATAAGGCTCTAAATTTTCACATACAGTGACATGCACTTGTGAAGTACCTATAAGCCAGCATTAGATGAAAATGGTACCTTATTTTTTGCAGTGAATCTTTTACCTTCTGCCAGTGAAGCAAAAGCGTTGATGAGCCTTGCCATATACTGTCTGACTACCTCACTCTTGGAATTTAATAATTTGAGGACACTTCTCTGAAAAAAAAAAGCAAACATTAATTACATCTCACTAAAGAAGGAAAGAAGCAAAGTTAGTTTTCTGTATTGCTTTGAAAGCTTCATTAAATTTACACCGCAAATAAACTTTGAATGCATATTGATATCTTAAGTAATGTCAATATCATTTAGATTTCTTTTTTATTGGCAGGGGGGTGAGGGAGAAATGGAAAACAAACAAATAAGCAAATTACAGCTTCTCAGCTCAATCTGTTAAAACACTGGTGTAGAGTGGGAATTACAGTGAGCCAACACAGTTCAGTTAAAGCTGGTATCTAAAATTAATATTCAGTCAGTGAAAAAAAAAGCCCACAAAGCAAACAACTTAATTTTGTTGATGAACTTAAATGCAGTAAAGTTACCTGAATAAGAACACTTTTGTTTGACAACTAAGAGTGTGGGAGGCAGCTCAGTAACTTAAAAACAACACCACATTGCAACTTATTTCTAATCTGTTTTATTTCAGGCATTACTTATAGATATAACTTCCTCTTACAGAAATTTATAGGGAGAAAAACAGATAATTGATTTAATAATCCTTTAACTTTTTTAGAGGTACAAGTTACTGTTGCAATGACAATGGAGCCACAACATAACAAGTAGACCCGCTGCCTCAAACACCTGGGGAACTCAAATATGCACTAGATTCACTACTACAAATGAAAACAAGTTGCACTTTTCTTAGCAACAGTACTGGATTATCAGGGACTGAAACAACCTTTCAAAAATCAACAAAACAGCAATTCCCCTTTCTATAGAAGGGTACCAAACCATTTCAAATTCACAGAAGTACTGCTGAACCTGTTATTGCAGGTGCGTAATGACATATTCCACAGCAGTATTGGGACTGAAGTACTAATTGAGTTCTTATTGTAAATCAGTGAAATGAATTGAGTGTGTTATTTAACAATACCTAATCACTCAAACAGGATCTGATAAGCAAGAAGTAACTCATAAATAAGGGCTCTGGCTTCTGCTCAACTCATAGAAGTTAAGCACCAGGAGAGGTGATAAATTTCCATTTGTCTACAAGAACTGTGTCTACACTGAGAGCTCTTGTAATGCAAAGTTTTGCCATTCACATTTAAAGATTAGGATGTAGAAGTTAAATATATCACCTAAGTTTGACCCTACTACCTTTTTTTTTTCCTCCTCTTTCAAAGAGCAATAAAATTTTATGATCAGCACTTTATAGACAGAAATGAGTAGCATCACACAGAAGTTGGACAACTGACAACTCTCAGTTCCAGCTGACCTGACAGTTGCTGTGACAATCCAGGAGATCATTACTGATGTAGGCTTGCAGGACAGTGTCTCTCTGTTCTCCAGGATATGATGTTGTCAAGCGCTAAAATAAATAACAATAAAATAAACCAGTCAAAAAAGAAAAAAAAAAAAGTAGTGTAGATTGATGACCTCTGAAGATTTTTAAGGTGCTGATACTCCATAGCTGAGAAACCTCTTCTCATAGGGGGGAGGAATTCAGCCTCAGTGATCTAAGGGAAAGAGATGAAATGAACTGACCTGACCTCAGCTTAGCGATCCATTACAAAACTGTTACTTGGCAGCAGCTGTCATTACTGTCCCTACAGGAAGGATACAGCATTACTTCCCATGAAGTTAAAAAAGCCCCTCTTAATAGCTACAGATGAGGTGTTTTTCTAAAACATCTGAGAGAGAGCACTGGGATAGAACCACCACTGGTCAGACCCAATGGATGGGTTTTTATGTGAAAACGGACATTGAACCTTGGTCAGAATTCCACTATTATCATCTTTCATGTCTGTCACTTTGAACCCATCAGCTTCCTTTTCAGCAGGAAAATGTAACTTCCTGTTGTCACTTGTATTTTTTCTGAAATGTCATTACACAATCCAAGTCAAACAAAAGGAGGGCTCCTGTAAAATACCTTGACTATAAAGAAAAACTGGTAATTAGAGTCAGATGTGTCTTGGATACAGCAATATTTGTATAAATGTAAACCAGTGCAATATACCGAAAAAGAAAGTACCTCAGACAACAAAAATTTATTTGAAAATATATCAGAAATTACTTCCACTGAATATCCCAGGAATCTGTGAGGAATCTGTCTTTCCTCAGATGAGAAGGACAGGGTTACTCTACAAATGGCCCTACTGCCCTGGGTTATCTTCATAATCTCAAGAGCCTTAGCAAACTTCACTGATAAAGAGAGAAGTTGCCTGTAATGCTGAACTAATCACCAGAACAACCATTTTGCTTGCAAAATGGGTCTTAGTTCTGGATTCCTTCAGAAGGAATCTCCAGAGGGCCTCTCCTTACCCAGCGCAGAGCCTGCAGTAAGAAGGCCTTGAGACGATCATTCCCTGTAATCAAATCTTTCTTCAGCTTCTCATAGTCCAAAGAGGGCAACAATGGCACATCCTGCATCTTCCTAAATGCAAATGGGAAAGACATTTCATCAAAACTCTCTCTCCTTGTTCAGTGCAGATGATGTTACTGAGGTGAGAAGAGCCAAAACAGAAGTCTGCTTCAGGAAAAGAGCTTCCACATTTTCACACTTCTGTTACTTTTATTCTCTGTTAGAACAACGGACTTGTTAATCTTGGGTTTATTTTTTTAACCATGCATGCAGCTCACTTACCATCGTAACTTGCAGACACTAAACTGACAACTAGCCAGCTCATGATCTGCAATTTCTAGAGGCACAAAACAGTACAGTAACATCTTTCTTTCCCCTCCCCTGTGTGGACCACAAGGGCATGATGGCAGCAGCTCCTGGTTTTTAGCACACAATTATAAACAGATGCAGTAACAAGCTGCAGCTCCAACTCCACCTCTAAGCCCTCACACACAAATGTCTTCTCCAAGACAAAGGTGGTGTGTGTGTGGGCTGAATGGATTTTCACAGCCTGAGATTTAACACAGGAACACTTTTTATGCATCACTAGTATCTTGCTATTTTGAGTTTTAACACTGCAAAAGAAGTTTCCCTTAATAAAATTGCTTCCAGTCAATGTTTTAATTTTAGTATTTAAATATAATACACTAAAATGTTTTACTATCTTTCCATCTAACCACTTTTCAAAACAAATTTTATGTCATTTGTATAACTGTTTATCTTGTAAACAACAGAAGGATCAAAACAGTGTCTCAAAAATTTAATAAAACTTCACTTTGGATATACTATCCCTATTTGATATTATAAGCTTAAATTAATTAAGTCAGTCGCCAAAAAATTAAACTTCAAGCACTCAAAATTCCTCTTTTCCTGGATTTGTGAGAATCAAACCAATTACAACAACAGGACTGGAACACGCGGAAACAGTAAAAATACAGAAACAACCTCACAGGTGTGGAATGGCAGATTTAATGGATTAGCAACATCCTGCTGTAATCAGAATGGAACTGAAGCTGCTCAATAGAAGAATACAGATCACACAGTATTTGCATGAATGTTCAGTGAGATCAGAGGAAGCACAGAGGGGGAGTGATTTCCATTTGCAGACAATTGGCAATGCACTTCAGTTTACAAACCCCTCCTTCTCTTCTCCACAGACAGAAATGAAGCTCAGCAACAAATACTTACACAGGGGCTAAAGATGCTCTTAACATTGTGGAAGCCTGGATCAGAAAAATAAAAAAAAAAAGAAATTACAACAGATTAGTCCAAATTTCACATCAACGTTACTAATGAGGTCCACAGTGAATTCTTTCACTGAGGTTCTGCAGTTCTTTTCCTATAAAACCTGTGTTGTAAAGCCAGAAACACAGCTAAAGAAAGAGCACTTCAGTATTTATCTTTCTTTTCACTTAAAGTGTTTCACAGGTAAAAAACCTCTTCTTTTATGATCTGGTTATGTTATCCTCACACTCATATGCCACAAATTATCTACACTTCAAGTATTTTAAAAAAATAATAATAAAAAATCAGTAGAAACTACTGTCTGAAGCCTACTGAGGATGATGAAGAACTTGCTAAGCACATTCATTGATTTAATAAATGTTCATATGTTTAAGTTGCAATAATATTTCATTGAAGACTCAGCACATATTCCTGTGTCCAAATTTTTTGTAATTCTTTGTTTCAACATTAATGTTATCAAGTGCCTATTGCTACTAAAATATACTCCTATGTATAAATATTAATATGTAAAGAAAAGACTATGCATTCTAGTATGGATAAAACCAATATAGAACAGCATGTAATTTCTCTGTGGTTCTGCCTGAGATACGTTCAGTTTAATCCTGCATATATCCCCTCTGGTGCAGTGGGACACAGTGCATATACAGGCACCACTATACAACAAGTCAGAGCTTAGAAACATCAACACAACATAAAAGTTCCACATAAAAGTTGTCTGCTTCAGTAAATATTTTTTGCTAGAGTTAATTGTAAGTGAGCCAGGAAGCAGCAATTCTGGCATAAAAGTGCTTCATATCATGCATTCATGATGTCAACTACATGGCATATTTGCAGAATATTCAATGTCATCTCTTTGTGCTGATCTCTCTACTCACTTTCTAAAAATCTCTCATTACCACTTATGCCTGTAAAACTGGTCTTTTCTTCTGACCGAGGCTCTTTCAATGGGAGCTATATAATCAATGTCTATTGTCAGATTTAAAACTGTGGGATTTAGGAGACAAAAAGCATGAAATACCATAGAGAATATTGAATTACACCAGCTGACATATTCTTGAACACACTACATCATGGGTACCCTCCTAATACAAGGAACTGCTCTCTTAGATGTGAAATAAGCTTATACGCACATTGGAAAGCATTTTATATTGTCATTACTTTTTCACAATAGACAATTAACAGGTCATACACCTCAAAAGTAACCTGTCTTGACAGCAGTTCTCACATCATAGTTTATCTTACACAATACAGGTCTTTCAAATTATCATATCTACCCCTAGACTGTCTTCTTCTTATTTATTTGTATTCATTTTCCTTAGAATTTTTGGTAAGTATAAAGAGTTAATTCTGTTTAAACAAAACTGTTTTCCCAGTCAAAACCTAACATCTTGTACCTGAATGTGCAATGAAATCACAAATCATTTTCCTTGCTTTCCTCAGCACCTTCCTCCGTTAGAGGAAAACAGGAAAGAAAGTGATTATGGTACTTTAATGCAAACGAGATGACAGAGCCCTTGAAGATGAGAAGGTCAAACAGAGAACAGTTGTGAGAAAAGAGCAGGACACTAGGGGTATATAGATGTATATAAAGGCTCTCTGCTGAGAAGTCCTTTTTATCCACCTCTTTGCTGACTTAATAAAACGTGCTCCACTCAAAATCTAACTAAAGGATATGTAATTGGTAAAGATATATGCATCACCCTTCCACAGAAATAAAACTTCTTGGGAAGTGCGAGACTTTGCAAGCTTTTATAAATTTCAAACTGCAGAAACTTCAACTGGAAAAACATTCAGATTTTTACAAATCAACCAGATCAAGCAGGACAAAATCCTGTTAATTCTCAATTCATTTTTTAGGCCGGCAGATGGAGCACAGCAAAGCATTTAATACGGTTTGCCTCTGCAGTCTACCTACACCAGAAAGGCACCAGAGAGTGAGGCAGGCCCTGCACTGGAGCTCTGAGGGCAGCACCACGAGCTGGAGAGACTTGTCACTTTGCTGATCAGAATCAGTTAATCAGTCTGGAACCTGCTCAGGGAGAAGGAAGCTCTCAGGCTTTTGGGGTTTCTGGGAAAGCAATAAGGATAAAGTTGCATCAGGTTCAATAAGGCTAAACAGAAATGTGAAAAGTTTTTGGGAGGCTATTATCATTTCACAATCTGACTATGGCCAGTACTACTGATAAGCAGAAAGAATGCAACCATGTTACAGGCAGATGTTTTCTTTCTTAATTTTCATCTACATTATTGCATTAAATATCTGCATTATTGCCATTAGTCATAAGTAAGCTAATCTGTATCCATCCAGTGTGGCACAATGAGTAAGGCATTGTCTCGGGTCTCAGGAGATACCCTCCTAGCCCTGATTCACCCACCAACTGCAGGCAAATCAAAACACATCATTTCACATCTCTGGGCCTCGATTTTTCTCATCTGGAAAGCAGATGCAGGCATCAGTCTCTTGAATAAGCTGGGATTTGAGATCTACCAATGAATGGCAGGGTGGAAGAACTAAAAATTATTATTTTGCTATTAAACAATTGAATGCTTATGGCACAGCCACCACAAACAGAAAGACAACAGATTTAGTAGCTCCTCTTCAGTATCAGTTTTCTTAGATTAAAAGATTTATTTCCTCAGTATTTTCTTCCAAGCCCTTTCCCCAGTCTTACCTTTCCTGGAACAGATTAAATATTACTTTAACGTTTTGAGAAACAGTATTCCTTAAATTGCCAGTGAAAGACAGAGTGTGAAGAACATGAAGCAAACATGTTCCCATGTTCTAGCGTGTCCCAGCGCTCAAAGACTTAATCTTGAACAAAATACTTTTCATGTAAAACCTATCTTGAGACAGAATCATTTGTCATAATCGAAACACATGCAGAAGTTCAGTGTCTAAAGGAAAGGAAAAGAAACACAAGAAAACAACAGCCCAGGCATAGCTCATTCTGGTAGGATCATGGAGTATGACTTATGTTTGTGTTGGTTCTTGCCAAAGCCAAACCAGGTGCCACATGAAGTCAAATAATTCTGTCACGATGCACATTAGCCACAGATGGCAGCCCTTCATTTTTGAACAAAGCGAGGCATGAATACGAACAGCATGGAATAAACCAAAGAAGTTCAAAGGGAAAGAAAAAAAAATCAATATTTATAAAAGAAAACAGATGCATTTCATGTGCAAGCCAAGACCACAATTTGATTTTATCAAATACTGTAGCCCTGTATTCAAACCAACTCCTCTTTGCTATTTGATGTATATACTCATAATATGTTGAAGGTGAAGCTGAAAGCCAGATTCTGTCTTCAGTTCCCATTCTGAAAATGTGCTATAAGAATTCCGTGTAAATTCAATGCAGATTCCAAATTAATAGTCAAAGATAAGTGATGAATATGTGATGAATAAAACCAAAATTTGAGCAAATTTCTACATATCATTAAAACTCACAAATTTATGTTGAGCTCATTTGTTACATGCTAATAACAAGACTGCTCCACATGTAGTCTATGAGGGATTAGACTCTGAGCTTGTGTAACCTGGCAGGTCTTCTGGGGCTATGCTAAGTTATTTCATAAGAAGATCTGCAAATGTTTTTCATTTTTTTTCTTACTTATACTAGAGATATGCTGTTATGAAAACTTCCCACTTGCCATATAAAACAGGTTCTCTAAGACATCTGAAGTGTACATAAAAAAGTCACACTGTAATACCGTGTGATAATGTAATGAGTAGACAAAATGCCAGAAAAAAAGTATAAAACACTATATATAAACAGTGAGAGGAGCTGACAGCTATCCATGTATTCAAGAAACACTTCAGAATTAGAGTCAGACAGCTTTACAGAAATTTTATAAACAACTCTACACTGTAAGTTATTGCATTCTACATTGTATAAAGTTACATTTAACTAATACTTTATAATAATCTGTATAAGGGAAATTTTTTTTTTAGCAGAGATAATTTCATTCATAACTGCTCATCTGTAATCAACTTTTCTCAGTATCAAACCCCAGACTTATGTGAGGGAACAAAATCCTAAAGATTAAGGGAAAAGTGTTTGTTATGAACATTCATGTCATCAATAGGAACAGGCTGATTGATACAGGTGATCTTTTACCACAGGTGAACAGGGGTAGTATTCTCTACATCAAGATAAAAGAATCACATAAGGAATTGTCTATTGCATTCAATACTTCTATGACTATTTCTCAAAACAAAATGTTGTTTTAAGGAGAAAGTTGAGTGCCCACACAGGTTTACTGTAATTCTAGGTGATAAATATGTTGGAAAAATAGGTAGTCTTTCTTGAAAGCCAAAATCTTGTTTTACCTAAAGAAAGCAATAAAAATATAAATATGCATTATTTTAAGCTGACTGACATTTTTCAGAATTGGTGTCAATCACTTCTATGAATTGATTACATACTGAATTACTTAGAAGCAAACTCATTTCCTTTCTTCACAAAGAATGCACTGAATATGAGCAAAATTAGATACTTATGGTGTACTTGTAGTATTGCCAGAATATGAACTTCCATCTGTGTTACAGAAGTCACAGGCAGTACACAGAATATAATTTTGCATTTTCAGTTTTCAAGGAAAAAAGATCCATTTTAATTGTATGGAAGAATTTTATAACCTTTACTACGGAAAGAAAGTTTGACTTTTGGAATTAAAAATACAAACACATAGAACACAATACCCCTCTGAAGAGCACAACTCAACTTGTTGTATTACCTTGAGCAATAATATTTATTTGGTTTGTCAAAGGTGTTGTGGGATCAGCTGGTGCTGGCACACTTCAGGGACATTGTATGCTATGTACAGATGATAACATGGAAGAAACAATTGTTTTCTGCATGCTATAGGAAGCTGTAAAATGTCATGTAAAATCTGTGGGCAAAGCTGCTCTTCTGTTGACATGCTGCATTATGTGTATTACGAAGAACATCTATTCCATTCCCCATGCAGAAATTCCAAGCCTTGCACAGTTTTTGGCTCTTCATAAACCATACAGTTAGTGTCATGACAGGTTAAAATGCAGAGAAAATTGTTCCACATTGTGAAACGAAGAGAAATATAGAGCATGACAGATTGAGCAGGCAACGTGAAAGGATATAAAGATATAGACACTTACATATCCGTCATCACAAGGGCTCATAGAGTAATATCCCTTTATGGGCAAACAGGCACACATTAAAATAAAGAAGATTAAAAAAAATAAGTTAACAGAAATAAATCACAGAGAAATGCACAGTTCTAAAAAAACCCCAATAAAAATCAGCTATAAATTAACAGACTATTAGCTTTGAAAAGAAAAGTATAATCACCTCCTAATCCTCATACTGGTATGTCTTAGAACTGAAACTTGTGTCTCTCTTGTGATATATTTACAAGTTCCTCCTCTCAACAACTGGCAAACATACCTAGTCTGCACATTATTCCACTGTAATCATCAGTTAGAACAGCTACATATGAAGCACTGACACATGTATGTGAATATATGGCTTGTACTGTTCACTGAGGCAGCTGAGAGAGAGATACCAATGAACATGGTATCGATCAGATCTCAGCTTCTGAGAAAGCAGCTGCCAGTATTCTCCATACTTGCTTTGACTGGTTTTTCTGATCAGCACATAACAAAAGCCAAGACAGACAATTTAAGGTGTTTCAGCAATGTTAGCAATTCCTCATCTCAAAAAGCTCCAAGGATAAACTAAGAAAAACTGGAAGTTTTTAGCATCTGTGGAAGGAAGCCTAAGATGTAGTTACTAAAATAAACGATGGTGATAATTCATGGTTCAAGTAGTTTAGTACAAAATATGTCATGTTCTCTTTAGTTAGACTAAAGCACTTAGAACAGCTTTGTATCTGAAAAGAACAGTCTTAATTCAAAATAAAAGTACACAGTTCAACACAATGAAATAAGACCAACACTAATTACCTTTGCTTCCAATCTTTTTGTGCAAACCTGCCAGTACACTTTAGAGGACATTTTTGTGCAGATGAATAAGCACATAAACACTGTATTTAGGAGGCTGCTCTTTAACAGACATATACAGCCTTACATAGGAAGACATAAGAAACCTGCCACTCTTCACCGTGAGCAGAAAATAAAGTTCTTACTATTCTTTAACCAATTTTAAAAATCTGACATTATTCTTTTTATTACCCTGACACTTAGAATTCCCTGATGCAAATGAGTATTTTAACTTCCATGGTGCTATACACACATACAGACAGTTCCTGGTGAAGACAATTTAAAATTCAATTTAAGACAAAGGACAGCATTGATGGAGACCAAAAGTGAGCAAAAGAAACCAGGAGATAACCTGTATCATGATGAGAGACATTTCAACACATGCATGACCCGAGCCAGTGAAAATGGACATAGGCATCTAGACAAAGACTACATTAAAGGTAAGTTTTAACAATAAAGGAAACCACAAAAGGTTGGACCAAACAAACTTTCAAAGTCCCTTCCAACCTGAGCTATTCCATGATTTGAGGACAGTAAAAGGAAAAGTTTGTGGAAACCCCTACTGGTGGCAACATCTCACCTTTCGAGATGAAGAATTCATGTAAATAAAAAACCCCACAGCAACTTGTGAAAAAGGCATCATATACTGTATCAGCAGAAAAAAGAACTTCTTGCTTACATAAAGAGAGAAGTTTGTTTCTTCATTGCCATACATAAATGGCAACATATAAAAATCATCCCATGGACAGGGATGCAGAAGACTCATATATTTCATCCTAAGAAAAGCTCCCTTAGAGTAGATGCTGTTTGCTGCAATGCAGACATTATTTTTAAATGAAAGAGGGTACATCCACATCATGCCTGGTGAATCCACTTTAAGTGGTTCGAAGTGATTAAAAACTCAAACTAAAAACCTTCAGTTACCCTGATCCTGGGTTTCATGGGGTCTCCTGGTGCAGAAAACTTTCACAAGTAAGAAGCTGAATACCTGCCACAAACTATTATGGTTTGACAGCGTGTGCACAGTGCAGTAGAAAGGGTGTTTGAGGACAAAAGCACAGAGCACAGGAAAAACAGGAGCCTGTGCTAGTCATTACAGTTATCCTAAGAATTAAAATAAAATTTCCTCTTGGTTTACAATTTGTAAATGACAGTTTCACTTTACAGAGAAGCTGGTGATTTTGTTCAGTGACAGAATTTAAAAAAAACAAAAAACAACAAAAGAGACCTAAAACTTGCAAGGGACATTAATTCACCTAATTGTAGCTACAGGTAAATATAATCAGACTGAATAGCAGCAAAAAACATAATGGGTATTTATTCTATTCCATGACACAGGTGCAATATATGCAAACATCTACACAGCTTTCAGGTCACAGAAAGATTCCCCATTGGTTAACATAGACCTCTACTATTGACAGAAACTGTGTATCTGAAGAAACAATTCCAGTTTGCCCTTCAATCCAAAGTTTAGAAAATCTTATTACTTTATCGCTAATCCAAGAAATTCTAGGAAGGTGTACATCTTACTTCAATCCAAAAAGGTTCTTTGTGGGTTTAAGACTTGAACCCATGCTACTTTTGATAGGCAGTGAATGTGCTAGGTTTGTGGTAAAAAGCCAGAATCCTCTTGGCTTCATGATGTGTAATGAACAGAAAAAACCCACACAACCCATGCTTCTTATCCACCAGACCAACCAGAAAGGTAAAAAAAAAAAAAAAAAATTAAACTTATCTCCAGAGTATGAAAGATATAAGAAACTGTGATAGTCCTGTGATAGAATACTGTAGCTGAAACTATTCAAATCTACCACCACCTTCATCAGTTCCCTGTCCTACTGGATATCAGAAAGTTGGGAATCCAATTAAACCGTTAAATAAATGTTTCCTCAGCTTGTCAGGCCTGGTGCTCTGGTCTCCTATTCTTAAATCCAGACCTTTTGCTCTGACAATTCTCTCAGGTTTCTTATCTCCCAGTTCAGGACCATATATGCCAAATGACATGATGGAAGGTGGTGATAACATTCAACTGCAGCTAGGAAAAAAGCCTTATGGTAAAACAGGGCTTTAGAGAGGCCTTGGAAACATCTCCCAACTGTAACACAGTTGTGTGGCCTCTCTCCCACTGCATGCAGCAGATGCATCCTGTTAATGGATTGTGGGTCAGGCTCACGAGCTGACCCAGGAGGTCACAGAGCTGGCAAGAGACATGGAGTTGCACTGCAAAAGAATGAGATCCAAGCCAGATCATCAGAGAGCACAAAGCTGATACCAGAAGCCCTTGCTAAGTAAGAGTTCACAGTGTGATTACAATGGAAAATTCTTTTGCTTATTAATGCCTCGGGTCTTAAAGCCAGTGCAGTTAGTAAGACTTGCTTCTGGGATTTGTCCTCCTGATACAAATTTCTTCTAGTATGAAAGGACAGGCCTTCAGTCATGGTGGGGGGCAAACCAGGAAGCTGATGTTTGTACAGTAACAGCACACATTAATAACTGATACATGTCACCTTTATTGTAATTTCAAAACCTGAGACCTCAAGGCTTTCTATTAAACAATACTGCTTTCCTGACATTAAAAATTGAGCACAATGCATTGGAGAAAAAAATCAAGTTTGCATACAAATAATGCTACCAAGGATATAATCCAAAGTATTCTCCTTAATTTCCTTGGGCAATTGTTCATTTTGGTTAATAGCACTCATATAATGCTCCTTCCCTGTATAACTTCAAACTACCAGTGTAGTGTAGCTGATTAAAAAAAATCCCTGTAGAGCTCAAGTACAGATTGCAGAGAATGCTGCAGTTTTAGCATTTTCTGCTCTCAGAACCTGACCCAAAACCTGGATTGTGCCCTCAGTTGTACCAGTATGGCTGACCTAAACTCAAGCACCTCCTCTTTCCAAACTATGTAATGCACATTTACTCATTCCCTAAATAACAGAGATAGGAATTTAAGGCTGCATGACAGTACCACAAAAAAGTAATTTCCTTGCTAATGATTTTCTTTTCTGCTCATCTATTTAGAGACATTGATCCACCAGAACCAATTTATTAAGGGTTTGCCCTGACACTGGTGATGTCAAGTGAGAGAGGATCAAATCCTGAATACTCAAGGTAGAGTGGGGAAAAAAAGCCAAACGACAAACCACCATATTTAATGCCTGTCAAAACTCTTCAGACAATTACTTTTTAAAAAAAACCCTCTCACTCATCTTGCCTATACAGAGACCTAATGGTAAGTATGAGCAAACAGGTTGCCCCTCTGCAAGTTTCTTCCCTCTGCAACTATACAGGTGACTGTCCCTTACAGCAGAAGGTGGTTTGCGAAATGGAGTAGCTGGAAGGAGCATACTCCAGTGTCTCTAAGTATTTATGAGCAAAAAGTGAGGGAACCTTCCAACACAAATCCAGCACAGATGCTGTGAACTCGTGCTACTACTTAGTCTGGGTCACGGTGCCTCCAGCTTTATTCCAAAACTTATGCAAAAACCTGAAACCACTTAAGGGTAGAACAATAACATCTGAGTGTATAACAATGAAGTATTTGAATCCCTGAAGGAAAAGTAATGGGATGGCTTAGTGGCCTAGTGGCAAGCAGTCAGAATTTTAGTCCATCTCATCTGGTTTCCTGGATCAACAGTCAGGGAGTGGCTACAAATCTTTTGAGATGATGAGAAAGGAGTTTCATTTTTGTTCTCATAAGGTAGGCTATATGTATGTTTTTCTTCTTACACTTATTTGTGTTTCTACATGTTTGCTATTCGTGTCTAAAACCAGAACTCTTTACTTTAGAAATAAATGAAGAAATTAGGATCAATCAAGAATAAGATGAGGAAACCTGATTATGACACAGAGAATGTCTATATGCAAAGACTGTGATCAGCCCTCCAAAACTTGGCTAAATGCCTCAGACAGCCTGTAGGGATCTGCTTATAGAAACAACATTAGATTTCAACCCCAGTAGCTACTATAACATCATTGTCAAGGAGTGACCTAAAACAGTGAAGAAACCAGTAATCTAAACAGTCTCAGTGCTATAACTGGACCAGTCCTTCACCAGAGAGCTTGGATGGCACAGCAACTACCTCAAATAGCGTGGGTAAAGGAGCCACAAAGTCACACAGAAATAGTTATGCTAGTAAAGCCTAGTATAAAAATAGATACAACTGTGCTAGAAAAACACAGCTTTACTCAGTTTAACCCGGCTAATTTGGGACAAAAGAGAGGCAAAGATTTACCTCCAGCGGGAAAAAAAATCCACCACTGACACATCGTCTTTCTCTAACCTACCTGCACAGCTGGAGACTGTGTTAAAGTGGCTGGAGTGGCTTAAGTACAGTGGAAAAGGTGCTTTCAGAGAAGAAAGGCTTTTAGAGACACTTTCAGAGCAGCAGAAGTAATGATGGACAAGATAAATAATCATTTCACAGATGAGAATCTTTTAATAGAAGCAAACAGAAGAAGTGTGGCTGTAAGAGAGTGAGTGGTCACCTAATGATGTCAGGCAGCATCAACCACTCCTTGTGAATGGTAACTTTTGTCGACCTTGTTCTTAAAAACCTCCAGTGACAGAGATTCTGGCTGAAATACTGATCATACTCTGCTGCCCACAGACTTCTTCAATGATCATTTATCGTTCTTAAAACTCTTAAAAGTCTCTTTTTTCACACAGAAGGAAACATGCCTATACCTAAACGCTAAACCATATCAGGACAGATGTTTATGCTAAAATAGCTATGTGACAGGTGTACAGAAAAACATGCAGTCTAGCAATAACCCAGCCAGCTTTTGTCAGAGAAGACACAGCTTCAGCCACTCTGCACTCTCTGCAGAGTGGATAAAGAAACAAGTCAGCACCTTAAATGAGGGCAATATTCTTCCCTCTGGCCCCTTCCCAAAAGGGTTCAGGAGACTGAAAGATCAATTTATGATAAAAAGAAAAAAATAATGAGCAAAACCTTGGGCAAATGGAGCACCTTGAAAGCTCAGGAGAAAAAGAAAAGTTGATGCAAGCAGAGAGCAGGAACAGAGAGAAGAGGGCACATGGCTGTACAAAATGGATTATCTCAGTACATGGAAGGGGAGACACACACAACCCCAACATCAGATGGCAAAAATACAGAAGACTACTGGGATACCTAATGCATTGTCTCAGAAATAAATCTGAGCAGAGAGGAATTGCAGATAGCCCATAATGTTGAGGCAGCAGACAAACAGATTCTAGATCCTTCTTCAAACCCTGGAGTAGCGCCTTTTGCAGATTGCATAAGAAAGCACCTCCTAAATTCATGGCAAGTCAGAGAGAGGAGTTTTGACCATTAACAGGGAAGTGAAGGCATCTAAAACAGCGTGAAGAACAACAAGGAATAATATTGATATCTGAAAATATTAGCAGGTAGCGAAGAAAAGGGAACATTTTTATTATCTCCTTATCTTTCTGTAACAGATTTCCAAGAGGAACAAAACGTACCCATAGTGTCATTGTTATTAGAAATCTTGGCTAGAATAAGGAATTTTATTTTCTTCTGCTTTTCCTTTGACTCTTCACCAAGCTCTCCTACTACAAATACACATGAACACCTGCCACAGCAAAAACAACAAGCAGAGTGCATGATTTTGGCTTGTCTTTGTAAAACAGTGGCACACAATATTTTATTATTAAAATATTTTAATGTAGTTTTAATATTAACACTTATTTGAATAATTTGAACAAGCTAGATATAAAAAAAGGTTGTAGCACTGAATTGCTCTTCTGCTATCATTAAGTCATTTAAAATCTCACAGGAATAGTTTCACAGATGCTAGAAACTATCCTAAACTGTTTCTGCTGCTGAAAAATAACCCTAAAGCTCCTTCCCTGCTCAGGTAGAAGAGATTGTGCAGAATATTAATGAGGAAGGTATAGTGCAGTCATCTGAAAAGAAACTGGAGGCTGGTGAAGTGGGGAAAAAACAACCCCAGGAATCCTGAGCTGCTTATCAATAAGATCAAAGATTCTTAGATAGGATGATGTTAAAAGTCCATCATGTAAATCAATAAGGTGGCTATGGTATATCTTCTAACTGCTCATCTAACAACTGGCTCTTATTGAAGAGGGAAGTCCTCTCTTCCTCCTCTTTTCTTCATTTGCTCTCATGATCTTGTGTGATGCTTCTCCTTTAGCTGGCTAAGCCAATTCTCTCTAGGGTTATAGGAACATCACTGACAGCAGAAAGGAACAGAGCACGAGTCCAGAGTTGAGCAACCACTCCCCCTTTTAGCTAAATTAAATTGGCTAATATGTGCCATCAAACCCACTCAGAACATTAGCTTTAGGGTTTACTTTTGATTTTTTTTTAAACATTCAGTTAGCATTTTAACAGATACAAGTTTTACTGTCCTCACAACAACAGAATTAAATATACTTATGCAGCTACAAATGCATAACCATGTCATTCACCAGCAGCTGAGATCAACAAAACTTTATGTATTGCCAGGTTCTTATATTAGCTTGAACACATTATGTCTTGTCTTTATCATCTCACATTTATTGTTCAATATGCAGCTTAAGCAGTATTGTCTATTGAGACAGTTACTGTAAAAATCCCAAACATTATTACTTACAGTTCCAGGCCTTGTGAAGTCAATACTGTGTGCTACACTTTGTCTCATCTGATTGCTGAACAAGCGAACACAAACACTTTGAAGATATTCTGGTGTGATCTAAAAATTAGGAAACAAAGCAAGAACAGGATTATATAAAACTTATACCTTATACCAGACAAGTATTTCTGTATTAAAGGTTGTTTGGTTGATTTTTTTAAAGAGAGTAAGAAATCACACACATGAGACTCATTGATGTGAGCACAAGGAATACACTGCAACTACTGTTCCATTCAGAAATTAAAATAACTGTAAATTCTCTTTATCTGGGAATTGTTATGCTATTCACAAGATTAATGCTAAACACTTTCAGAGAGTCTAGAAGAAAACTAGAATTTGTCACACCTATGTTTCCATACAGATTTTCCTCAACCAAAATCAAATCAAATTCAAAAACGAAGCAGTTTTGTGCTCTAAACAATCATATGTTGATGTGTCTAGCTAGACAGCAGAACTTACATAACTGTCTTGTACAGCAGAGAGAATAAATATGAATTACACAGTACAACACTTTGTGTTTCAATGCAAAGAGAATAAATATGAATTACATAGTACAGCACTTTGCATTTCAATGCAAAACATCTCAGTGGATTTAGATCTTTTGCTTTGGGAAATCAACACCACAACAGAACAGCCTGATTTCAGAACAGTTATTAACTTCCCCAGAACAGAGGCAAGAGCATCAAGATCATAGAAATACAAATGGGGACACTTCTGATATTCCCAGACCTACAGCAAGACGACAAAACCCTTCAAATTCAGAATGCTGCAGCTTCAACATGACTTTATTCAGTATCCAACTCCACTTTGGATTCAGAAATGACAGAAACCAAGATTCATAACAGAAGAGCACCCTCAGCTGGACACACTTGGGAAGGATTAAATGACTGCCCCGCACAAGGCTTACGAAGGAAATTAAAACGAGCATCTGCAACAAAACAGAACCAGCGCCTGGTTCCTTTCCCCCCAGAAGATAACTGGATATCACTCTGGAGAGCACTGAGGTGTGTAATGGGAGGTAACAAATGAATGACTATGTGTTTATTGTTTTTGAAGTCCATGTGAGCAGATACCTTCCCTAATCTGCTGTAAAGCATAATCCACACCTACAGGCAAATCCTTCCCTGCAGTAATATGTGAGCAGTCAGTGATCCCAGATGCACAGTAGCAAACCACAAGATGTTCCTGCTGATGGCAGGAGGACGGTACATATTGACTTTTCAGTAGGCAGCACAGGAAATCCCAGGTCATTCTTCCTGCTAACAATTCACAGCTCCTTTAGAACCATCTAGAGGCCACTAACATCTGCTGTAAGAATAACCTTCAGGTTACATGGAAGTTATAGTACAGAGGCACGCTCGCGGAGAAGAAAGCACAACAGAGGATACAATAAACTTCATATAAAAAATACCCATAAGAAAATTGTACCTTCTTCAGTCACATAGGTGTGGCCCATTTCACATGGTAACTCATTCTCTCCTACCCCAGTTCCCTTTATGAATTAAATTAACAACTTCAGCTTAGCAGAACAGAGAGGAAGGCTTTTCCTCATCAAAATTTTGGATGAGAAGATTGTTTCCAGCACCATGGAACTTAAAACAGACCTGACAGAAGTTTTAAACACACAACAACTGTTGATGGGCTGGATTGCAGTCAGTAGTCATAGAAATACCCTCTGATCACTGCTGATGCCACAGCTCAAAAGGGGACTCTCATAAGAGATCTGAGGTGTCTTGTGAGATGGTGATTAGTTTTTTCAAGATTTCTGAGCCAGCACAATTCAACTCATCTTTTGCACTACATTTATCCTTCCACACAGGGTCAAAGGAAGAACCTCTCATCTAAAGTGCTGTGTTTCATCAGTAAAGAGCCACAGTGCTAACAGAAATGCTCATAACTACGAAGCTTAATTCACATTTTGATCTCCATTTTCCAGGGGGTGTGGAAGCAAGCACCCATCTGAGTCATCACTTACCATCTTGCCATTGACTGTGGCCTCCAAAGAATCCACCAGCTCTGCAGTGACTCCAATGAGATTGTGGTAGTCTGCCTGCATTTTGTTAAATCGTTTCAGGTAGGTCATGGTCCTATGCTCAGACTCCACTAACTGTTGATGAAGATGTTGCAACATTTCTGTCAAGAGAATAATCAAAAGAGAAGTAGCATCACCTTTTCAAACAAAAGGACAAAAGAACCCACAAGCATTTTTACCGCTCTGAAGGCACAACTTCAACTTCCAAGGTGTGGAATTTCACTGCAAGGATAACTCAGCACCTCTAGTGTGATTCCATTTCATCACAACAGCTACAAGTATTTATTAAGCCTTAATCACCAAAGAAACAACTGATTCCCAGTTACAGCAGTAACATAACTATTAGTGAACATCACTGAACATATTTGTGAAGAAGACACTGCTTTAAAGGTCTGTTACTAGGAGAAGTTCCAGGCTATCCGTGACAAAACGAGGCTCTGGGCATCGAATCAGAAGAACAAATGACAACACACAGCTGATTACCTGGACTTGCTGTCTGCAGAGCAGTCATGCACTATCTGTGACATTCACTAAAGTAACACAGGGTAGAAAACATTATCATGACCAGCAACTGGAAAGGTCAAGTAGCCACTCCAAAGATAAAACACCAAAACAGGAGAAGGACACTACCCCGAGATTCAAGCCACTGTTTGCTAGATTACACTGTGAGGCTGGGTGTTTTATCCAGTTAATGTATAGGAATTGACCACTGGTATTTAGGTTATGTAGCGCTTTGTTTATTTTAAAGACTAAGTCTTCGATTTTTTGGGGGAAAATGGTACAATTCACAGAACAAAAGAACCCCAAATCCAACCCAAAAACATTCAAGTTATCCAATTCCTCATTTGCTACGTCCTTCAACTGAATTCATTGAAGTTGCAGGGAATTCTCCACTTCAAAAAATTTTTCAGGTGACCCTGGTTAATGGTAAACTGTATCAGTCACTTTTAGCACCTTCAGTTTCTGAAAATAACTCAAATTGGTCTTTTTTCAATAAATAATTAATAATAGCTGTTATATTTCTGACACAGTTTGTTCCTTCAGGTTCAATTAGTTTACAGACCAAAGCAAACTGAGTATCAGAATCTGTACCCTCCACCCCAGTGTCAGACTCAGCCAAATCAGTTCTACATGGAACTCAAGCATGGAATCTGGAGCTGTGTACCACAGTGCACATCTCTGTGACTAGACAAAACTGCGAAGGGAGGTACAATAATCCTATTGTTACTGCTCATGTTTTGTATTTTGCTAGAACATTATGTTTTAAATTAGGTTGCTGAGAAGCCAGTATTGCTTTAGTGTTTTGAAAATGGCATCAGGCCCATCTCCAAACAGAGGGAATATTTACCATAGGATTTTCTGTGAAACAATGGGCAGGAATCAGCCTGACTCCAGAGTTTCAGACAAAAGTAGAATTCCTTCTCATAGATTTAAAAAAATTTTGGGTCAGGGTAGAGCATTCCGAACAGCCCAATATGACACAGTTTAGGTCCAAGTAGACCCAAAGGGAAGAAAAACAAAATAGCCAAGATGCAAAACTGGAAAACAGAAAAACTAGTTCCTGTTCCTGGCTTTGAACAGATTTTGCCCACAATCTTCTAGGAAACCATTACCCTCTCTCATGATTCACTGTCTCTTTCCATAAATACGTAGGTCATGTGTCCCTGGAACACCAAAGTATTGGGAAACATAACTGATGTAAGTAGAAATTCGGGATCCTCATTTCTAAGCAGTACAAAGTTTCATTGCACAAGTTTAAAAAAGTTCAGCATATAACACCTTATGATAAAAAAGCTCAGGAGGATTAAGGTGTAGTTACTCAAAATCTGTCCCTTTGCTCCACTGCTCTCTGAACTGGGGCACAAACCTCTTCCAACTAGAGTCAGTAGGAAAAACACTACATAACCAAAACTCAGTGCAGATCATCACTGACAAGTACCTCTTCCAAGCACAGAGGGCTGTTGGAAGAGCCGGTCCTGCTCTGTCCCGTTTCCCCTTTGCACTCCTGTCACATCCCGATAAAAGCAGTCACTTAGACAGACCAGGGAGCTACTAGCCCAGGTAAAAATCAGTATTTAGTGGCTTGTTTGAAACGTTAAATCATTACCCTCTGAGTCAAGACTGGGTAAAAGGAACTGGTACCTTTTAGAGGCATTTCAGTTTACATTTATGTCACCTTGCAGAAGTGATCAGACTGCACCATAACAGGAATCAGAGAGTAACTCAAGACATGTGGCTTCTCTCTTTCCTCTCCCAAACACAATTCCCAACACTGACAAATCCTTTTTACATATGATAAGCTTATCAAAGAGGAAGAAAAAAAAAAAAGCTGTCTAGACCTTTATTATTCATATGAAACATTATTCATATGTGGAGGAAAAGAGAGGAAAATACAGCACAGAGGACTAACCTCCTGTTGTAGGAAGATGTAACACACAGTAAAGCTTGTCACTCTGCCAAATGAAGATGCTGGCACCAGGCATCAGCTGAACTACTGCATGTTTCTACCAGTATTCTTGCCTGCTTTCTCATGTGTGTAATTGTTGAGTTTTTTAACTCCAGTTCCTACAAGCAGCCAAGGAGTTACACGTATGCACAGAATTCCATAAGAAGCTTCTTGTTCTAAGTGAGAGATTGGTTGTTTTCCTTTACAACAACTTACCTACACCTAAAACAGGTTTCCTGAACTTGTGCGTGCTCTGTCTCTTTCTCTCTTAATCTCAGCCCACCCTCACATACTTTGCTAGAAGCACTGACACTGGCCAGGCTGAGCTCCTGCACACAATGCAGCAGAGCTCTAGCAGAGGAGCTGCAGGTCCCAAGAGTTGTCAGACACTAGGGCTCCTTAGGTGACACTGAAACCTTGCTCTCAGAAGAGGTAGCAGTCTCCTTCTTGCTTACCACATCTCCATAAAAATTACTATCCATATTCTGACATATTTCCACATCAACAGTCATTTAGACTGTTGATGTGGAAATACAGACAGGTAGGTCACACTTCACTTTCTCTTGTGCAGCAGCCTGACACACTTCTCCCCCCATCCCCTTCCTTAAAACAGTGGAAGAGTGGCTGTGTAACTCATCCACAGATTTGTAAGGAGGCAGTGAAGGGAACAGCAGCTGAACACCCTTCCAAATACTTCATTCCCTCCATTCCTGCTAGCACAGAGGACACAAAGAAGGTCTGAAGCTCTCAGTGCAAGATGCCAACCATTCTGCAATTCCTTCCTTTCCAGCCAAACTGAAAACATATGGGAGAGCTGTAAGTTAAGCACCACTGCCACACAAATAGCTTTCAAAGTCATACAGGGATTGAAGTTTTTTAGCAAATGGGTAAAAAGCCAGACTGTGCAGGTAAATCAGGCAAGGTAAACACACAGAACTCTCCCAGGCACCTGCAAGAGCATTTGTACCACCCCACCCAAACTTGAAGCACTTCAGGGTGTCAGATTGATGACTGGCAACTATTTATAAAAGGCTGTTTCCAGGGCTCTGACATACTGCTCTTCATTCATGTGTTGCCTATAAATTTTCTCTGCGTTTCCCCTTCACTGATAAAGGAAACATTCTCCAGCAGCGAGGAAGTGCTGTGGATCCCACGTGAGCTGAGCAGTTACTGCAAAAATAACCTCTTGGATCCAAAACTTTCATACGAGACAGTCCTCAAGTAACCTTTATGAAAAGTCCAAACTGACTCAACCTCCAAGGCACATAACAGATCTACAAATAAAGGCTGACCTGCATGGATTCAATTCCATGACAGTTCCCGTACTAGTAGAAAGCACAGAACCTTTCCAAATGAAAAATAATTAGGCCCAAAATAACTCAGGCACAATCATGTAGTAATTTCGTTTTAATCAGAGTATGGAATTATTGCCTTCAGGAAAGTCCATCATGAGGAAAAAGAGTAACTTCTGGAAAATAAAAATCCACTAAGATCTTTCTAATATTCAGTGAAAGTCTAATGCAACACAAAGCTGAAAATAACAAAGAAAATACATGGAACTCACACTAGAAGAAAGCCTAACTTTCTCTTTAATTCAATCTACAAAGAGTAAATCCTCAGGGTAAACCTACAGATTAAATTAACTAGAGAGGAAAAGTCATTTTAAGAACCCAGCTGGTCTCATACAGATCTCTACCTATAAAGTGTATGCAGAAAGTCATGTGAAAAAGTGAATGCAAGGTATTGGAAACCTAAGTTGTATTTATTGAACTGATTTTTAAAGGCACATATTTCAAGTGTCATCAGCATCTACTGGGATTCATTATTTTTAAAGGGCCCCACGTCACACACACACTTCAGCGCATATAAGCAGCACCTCGAAATGCAAAACATCAGCCAGCCACATTTAAATTAACACATCATTATTCAGGAGATACTAATATGTACTATTTTAGGAGTTTAAACAGGATGAGTGAAATCAACTTAGACATGTCTAAGATCATCAGACAGTCATCAGAACAACTGTATGAGATTTAAAATCTCAGACAGGCACAAGCAGGTAAGGGAAAGCAATCTGAGGCAACTTCCATCAGAACTAAAAGTGGAGAGCTGGTATGCACTTCTTATGGAGTTCTCCACTATTTTTTACCACGTTTCAGGACAGAATAGACATTAAATACAAATCCCACTACTAGGCCCTCTCCCATTTCTAGTACATGGCTATTGATGCTCAACCCTCTCAGCTCAAGCAGTCCAGCAGTAACCCCAAGGCAGGGGTCTGGATTTCAAAGGACTTTCTGCCACACATTACTGGTTTCCCCATCCCTGCAGGCACGCCTTCTGCTACTATCATAGACACTAATAATCTTCCAGATTATCCTTACTACATCTCAGCATTTACCTTTGTTGCACTGTCCATTCTCTTTCTGTTGCACAAGTAGGAGCAGTTCAGGAAAATGTGCATCCTTTCAGTACATGTTTGTTCCAGAGACACAGAATGAGAAATTCAACCAACTGGCAAACTCAACCAAACTGAACAGTCTTGCTGTCCCAGGCAACAGCCACAGGAGACAAAGAATAAAATAATCAATAATAAATACATGAAAATCTCTTAAATGCATAAAGCAGAATGTTGCATAGAGTGTTGAGACCTTTGGTTGACCTTTAAAGATATTAGATCCAGCCCTGATACATAAGACACAGTAACTCCAGTCTAACTGCATTAACACCAAAATGAAAAGTCAAACTGCTGATTTTACATAAAATCAACCTACAAGTGTTTTAAGGCAAGTGACGTTTTTATATCTAAGAAATATCCAAGGCTTAATTAGGATTCAGTCCATTACTCCATGAAGAGGAATAATCAAAGAGAAAATTTTATTCACCTGTTGTATGGCAGACTCCCACATAAACACCTGTAATATGGGAGTGAAAGCAATGTTTTGATTGCTTCTCCCCATCCTGGTAAATGGGCAAGTATGAAACAGAAGGGATCTAATTTCCAGCTCATTATTCAATACCACCATAGCAACATGCTGCTTTGGAAAAAAAGTAGGATATAGCAGGAAAAGGACTTTCAACTAATGTTGCATTAATAAAAAAAAAAAAAAGCCAGAAACAGAGACTCCAGTTCCATTCTGTCTACCTTATCTTTAACTGTACAGACCAAAACTGGAGAAGAAAATTTGCCATATAGCTAGCTAGTTTGCAAATTAGGCCTGACAACACAGCTTAAACAGTATCGTTTGAAAAACAATACAGTCTGAAGCACATGCCATTGAGTGAACCAATAATTTCTGGAATCCTTAAAATCCCTGGAAAACTTTCAGTTAGATCCTGAAATGGCTAATTGAAAAGACTAACAGTTTTAGAAATGCTGAGAAAGAAGTCAGGTCAGGTTGGTGCCTTTGGGTATGCTGTACTTTATATATGGAAACAAACAATGGTCATATGATAAAAGTGCAGGTTCATATGTCTCTATGTATCCATACATTGTCTTTATATAACTTTTACAATTTTTTTTTTTAATGTGGAATATAAACAATGTTTCCTATCATAAAAACACCGAACTGTAACATTACTGCAATTCTGCAATAAATCTTATCAGCACACTCTTGCAATAAATGATATTGCCTCTTTATAGTAATTCCAATTATCATCAAAGTGTTTTCTCAAAAGGATACAAATAAAGTGAGAAGCCGAGGAGTCTGTCTGGCTTTGAGAGTCAGAGACAGGAACTTTTCCAATCTCGCCCTCAAATCCGACGTCCAAGAATCCTTGAAAAGAAAAACAAATAATGTCAGTTGTTCACCAAATATGTACACTCTGCAGAAAGTACTGTTTGGATCACAGCAACCTTCCACTAGAAGGCAGCCAGCACTGGATTGAAAAGATTTCCCCTTCACTGTTACTAAAGTGAATGTGTTTGCTCACTACCCACAGAAGTCTAAAGAAGTTAGATGGGAGTTCAGGATTATTTCTAGACAAGAGTTCTTGAAGCACAATGAGGCTTTATTTCAAGTGCAAAACTATCACACAGTGTTGGTGCCTTGCAATCACATGCAACAACTGCCCTGAAAGTAGAAGCATCTTTAAATACAAGCAACTTGAGAAAAAGATAAAAAATTAATATTAATTTAATATGAATTTTACATTTATTAAATAGAGTACAAAATGAATAATTTTGCAGTGCTCAATTTTTAATCATCTTTCACTCCTAACAAGATCTGGGAATTGTAGATTTTGTCAATAACTGTTGCAAGCATCATGACATGACATTGGTGATCAGCGTACAACATTTCTAAAATAGGGATTTGGAGAAAAACAACTCATGTACAAAAAATAGACCAACATAACAGACCAACACCATTAACTGGAATGCTGTCTTCTGCCTGACACAGTGTCTCATAGGCACAAGAAAAAAACAGCTGAGGAAAAAAGCCAAAATACACCTAGGAATCCACCAAATACTCATTTCTTCTATTTTACACCTTTAGTGAAGCCAGTTCCTGCTTGAGGAAAAGCTAGCCAACAGATGAAAAAGCTCTATCTTTGAAAAAGTAACAGGAGCTTCCTAAATTTACTGCTGTATACGACTATGTTGCAAGCTGTTCTCACAGCTCAGATTTGCCCTTATTTCACCACGCTGGAGAATGTACAGAATTTACTTGCTGCATTTACCAATTCAGTATCCAGACAGCAGTGTACCACAGCACACTGTATATTACCTAAGGAACCTTGTCTCCTACAGAGAGGAGTGTGTATTATTTTTCAAGATGTATTACACAAACTGACAGGAACTCCTACTATATAAAGCATCAGATGCCTGAGAAAAATATATGCCATCAGAACACTGCTTACTAGACTAGTGACTCACTGCTGCTCTTTCTCAAACATAAAACAATCTGTGTTTCAACACTCACATGGAATGAGTTGTACAATTCCCACAAGAAAATATGAGTGACTGTGGACCAAGAGCTTGGACACTGGGTTACTATGAATAAACCTGAGGATCTCGTCTTAGATAAGGCATTAAAAAAAAAAGCTGCTAAGCATAATTAAAAAAGAGTAGGCATATCCCATCTCTGAGGTCAACCAGTCCATCTCATTATTTATAGCTAGTCCCAAAGGAAAATGGCAGTATATGCCTTTTTTGGTGATAAACTGGAGCTCCTCAACAGCTGGTACATCCAAAGTCAGCCCTAGGGCAAATATCACTTAAGCTTTGATTTGATATTAAAAACTGTGTGGCAATGTGGGCTGGAGGCACCTCCTTGCACCACAATAGTTGCCCACAGCTGCTTAGCCAGGCCAGCACAACTGTTCACATGGTCGGACAGGGAAGCATTCCCAGCAGATAACCCTCCCCACAGGGATTGCCACCAATACTTTGGAACATCAAGCCCCAGCTCTGAAAGTCACCTCCTAACCATCTGCCCAGAGAGTGGTCAATGTAAGGGTGTTTATTACCCCTTCATCAGCAGAGTAACTGTAGATCATCATCACACTGAAAGTGCACCTGGAAAGGAGATCTATTTTGAAATTCAAGCACGCCAAACTTCTACACTCTCTTCTCACCCTGCACATGCAAGTCTAAGAACTCAACTCTGAAACACTCATTCAAATGTAAAGGTTGAAACATATTTAACAAAAAAAAATTAACTAGGAAAAATGCCTGTGGCAAGAGTCACCAAACCACAAAGCACAGTTATGCTCTTCCAGCACTTTTTTTTGGGAGGTGGGGGGAAGAGTCTCAAAACACAGACAACACTGATTCATTTTCTGTTTCAAGAGGATTACTTACTAAATTGACTTTCTCTTTTCCACATTAAATGAAACTACTTTGGTCTCCTTATGCCTAAATATCATGCTTTAAATGCAGTTATATATACACAGATAGTGGTCTTGGGCAACAACCTCAAAGCAAGTAAGTTGACTTGAACTACTACAGAGTCATTCCCAGAAGCATTCATATTTCAGGGATGTGTGGAAAAGGAGAGGCAGCAATGCTATTTTATGGACACAAAGATGGCATACCACTCAAGACTCAAGCAAATATAAAATACATATTTAAGATGGCACCCTGTTATTGATAGCAGTCTCACAACCCCTCCTCCATTAAATATATGTCTTTTTAGGATTGTACAGTTTCTGCTAAAAGGAACAATAAAGGCAAACACCAAACTAAACATTATTGAATATTTATCACCCCCTGAGAAAAGTCATCATAAATACCACCTCTCCAACACAGATACTTACCTGGAAAAGTTCTTTAAAAGAAGGGTGTACCATGGGGTTTGGAACAAAAGGCAAAGCATAGAAGGGAAGAAACTCTGTAGTCTGGCTCAGTGCAGCTCCTTTTGTTTCCAGGTATGCCTTAAAATGTGACATCCTTTCCTCAAGTTTAGCTTTGTCCTAGGAAACAAAGTAGCATATTTAATTTAGAAAACTACCACTCTGAATGCACAGCAAAGCTGGAAAATACAAGCAGAGACCCAAGTATATTAATACCAAGTCTGATATTCCAAAACCCAACATTTATTTAACTAGAGAACATTATATCATGTTTCAGTCATAAAAGAAAATTTAAACCAATGTTGTTGTTTCTGTCATGTAGGTCCAACAAAAGAAGAGACAGAAAATTGATTTTGAACGTAAATCATTCCTGCTCACTTCAGGTTAGACTTCTAAAGCAAAATGCCATTTCCACACTCAGGTAAAGAGGAAACACCTACTAGACATGTTTTATATCAGTGATAAGTGAGAACCACAAAAATCCTGGTGCACAGCACCAGGAAGGGAAGCTGGCACACAGAACAGAAGTTCCTCAGAGGCTGGAAAACACACAAAAGGCATCCAAATACTCCTGTAGCAGCTGACAGGTGAAAGGCAGGAGCTATTAAGCCCCAGCTGATCTGGCTGAGTACAGGCTACTTAAATGTCTCTTCATCATAAAAGTCCCATGGAAGAGAGATTTTATTCTATAACAGCTTGGAATTATATTTGTCAATATGATATATTGAGCTGGTCAAGATTCAGCTTCCCCATTTCATCAGAAATTATTATATTTTAACTCACAGCTACAGTTCAAACTGGAAGCAAAGTAAGTGTTTTAAGAATCTTCTATGCTCTGCACTTACAGATGTGAAAGTATTGGCATGCTGGTATTTTCCAAGTTAAAATACTTCAGGAGCTCCAAGATACGGGCAGCTCCAACTTCCATCTCTATACTTCACAATACAAAGGGTCTGGTTCAACTAAAATGCAGATTATGGCCCAAAACTGGATACATGCTCTGGGTGTTCTTAGAAACCATCCCATCCTCATTCACACTAAAGACAGATAAACAAAGCAAAACAAACAAAAGCAATTTCAGGTTTGAATTGTGAACCAAACTTACAGGCTTTCCCACAGTTTGTTTCAAGAGGAAGGTGGCAAAGTGTATGTGAAGATAGAACTCCAACTTCTGAGCAACAGGGTCATTGTCTCGCACTGAAGATGAAATGTGCTCCTCCCAGAGCTGGAAGAAAACTTTCTGCTCACCATTTTCAAATGCTGCAAGCAGATCTTCCTGCAAAGGGGAAAGGCATTCAGTGAAAAAACAAATGCAGAAGAGCCACATTTGCACAGCAGTAATTTAGTGAATGAAGAATTCAAGTGCCATTTGAAAACCTCAAATTAAAGGTTTTATCCAAAAATCTATCACAGTTCAATGACTGCCAAGTATTCTTTCACCATGTATTTTTAATATGTTTGAGAGCCTGAAGCAACCATGAATACAAGAGGTAAAGCCCAAATTTTCAAAAGTTCTGGGAACCCGGCTTTACCGTAAGGGAAAAATAAATGCCCAGAGTGTGTGAAAATCAGTCTTTTCAACCTATGGTAAGATAAAAACTAAAAGTAGTGTGAATCAAAACTACTGTGTTCAAAAGCACTGGAGTTCTGAAAAAAAAAAACAACAAACCCAAACTTCAGGGTTCCTGTACTGGAAGAAGACTGCTAGAAGACTTCTTCAAATAATCAAGAATCTGTTCAGACAGTTCAGATAATCTCACTGTTGTAGTAACTCACAGGGTCGTTAGTGGCCTTTAACTGTCTTTAGCATTACTCAATGTAAATGATGCATTACCTGAACAGGCAATGGATCTTTTGAGGAAACATCTGCTGGTTTAGGGAGTGGCTTCCCTTTTATTTTACATTCCTTTTTAAATACCTTCACTGTTTCTTCAAATTCTGCGAAATCCAAATACTACAAGACAAAAACATGCAGGGACAAAAATTTTTTTAGATGATTAATGCTTCAAAATAAATGATTAATAATTTTTTAGATGATTAATGCTTCAATGAATGACTCATGAAATGCCAAAGTTTCTGTATAGGAGGATCCATAAGTGTCAGAAACTGCACATTGACCTTTTGGTAGGAAAATACTGACTCTAAACTTCTTCCTGCATCCTAGAGACAACCAAGTACATCCTCTCTGAAAGAATGATGCCCCTTGGTTTAGTCAGTAATTTCATTCTACCAAAGAAGAAAATTAAGTAAAATTCATTAGTGTTATATTCTGTTTGAAGAAACAAGTAAATTACTTCCTTGCAAACAATGTTCTTAGAGGGCACAGCAGTCAGACAGCTTGAGCTCTTAGCCAGAGCCCTCACGTGAAACTGTACAAGCCAATGATCAACTCATCAGGCACTGTTTCTTCTAGGGAAGAAATAAACAGCCCTGCCTCTTCCTCTCAGTGTACAGTCAATATATTAGACACAGCTTTCCCCTCCTCCCCTCATCTCAGGAGTCTTAGTCATTGGCTGCTGAGGGAAGACATCACACTTCGTTTTGCAAAGTTGACCTGGATTCCCAACATTGCCACGGAGAACAAGAATTGCTTTCTTCACAATAAACATAAACAGCAGTATAGTAGTGATTATGAACTTAAACCTCTTTTTAGAACTGTTTTTAGAGACCCACAAAAAGATTTAAGCTGTGTATGACTTTGCCATACGGTTGACTCTTTTGGGAGGCAGTAACTGTCCTGGCTTTCAAGACACAGCCTGGTGACAGCTGGGCACAGTGGGAGCTGACTGCCACTCCTGATCACCACTCCTGATCACCCCTCTGCAGCACCAGCACCTGTGGAATCTGCAACAGGATGGATCACACACGGCAGAGGGATTCAGTCTGGTGTCCACTCAGGGCCCTAAGCAAGGCTGCCAACACAGGGTCGATTAAAGGGATGAGGAAGCAACAAGCAGCAGAGATCACAGTTTGTGTCCTTGTTCTAATTCATAAACATCCCATTTTAGCCAATTTATCCAGAAGCACAGGCTGCCATAGAGGTACCTGCCCTTCAACACTTGTCTCTCACTGTCTTTTTCACTGGATTCTTTCACACTTTATTCTGATTTCCTCTTATGGGCAATAGGGGTAGAGGAGTGTCTACCTGGAAAATCCTGCTTAGGCATTAAACCGTGGAGATCAGTAGTCTCAGGACTTGTCTGGGCTTTGTCAGCTCTAGGGTTTTTATATGCTTCTGATTTTATACACACATGGAATAAGGTGGCAGCCAAGCAAGATTTTAAAGATCTCACCTTTACCATAGGCTGGACCTGAGCCCCAAAGTTGTCAGATCTAATCAACCTCATTCTTCCCTTAATGAGAGCCTCATTTCCAACGAACAATAGATAATTTTTGATTGATCTGCTGTTTGACTGCTGACATTTAACAGATATTGAGCCCTTTGAACCTACAGAGCATGACAGGAGTCAGTATGATTTCAGACTGTAGCAACACTTGGCCAGATAAAAACTCCAGAATATAGACCACAGTTACAACGCCTGGCTCTGAATACAAGCAGCTATGAAATTCTGCCTTGCTTATTTCAACAGCAACAACAACAAAAGGAAAAGAAATAATGAGAGAAAACCAACCTCTCTCACCAGTCCAAGTAACTCAGCCTCGTACGCTAAAATGTCACCCATTGCTAAGTGTTACTGCTACGCCTCATCGCTGATAGAGCTGGAAAATGGCAAAGAACGGGAGTGTCAGTGGCAGCACAGGGCTCACACAGCACAGCCCGTCAGCCATCGCATCTCCAACCAGCACGACGAGGAGACACACACAACAGACACACTCACAGAAACACAGTTTACCTGCCACGTCTCACCTGCCCCCATCCCCTCTCTCCCACATCCCACCTGCCCTCGTCCCACCTATCCACAGCCCCCCTCACCTGCCCACATCCCCCTTGCCCCCTCTGCCCCACATCTCCTGTCGCAATCCCACCTGTCCGCCATCTCCCCCATCCCAATACCCCCTGCCCCAATTCCGCCTGTCCCACATTCCCACTGTCCCAGTCTCCCCTGTCCCAATCCCAATCCCACCTGCCCCACTCCCCCTGTCCCAAACCACCCATGCCAGTCCGCCCTGTACCAAACCCCATCCCCGCTGTCCCAATCTCATTCCCACTCCCCCGTCCCAATCCCACCTGTCCCACATTCCCCCTGCCCCAATCCCGTCCCAATTCCCATCCCAATCCCAATCCCATTCCCACCTGTCCCGCATTCCCACTGTCCCAGTCTCCCCTGTCCCACTCCCCCCGTCCCAATCCCCATCCCCCGTGTCCCATTCCCCCCTCCCTCACCATCCGTGTCTCCCCGGCAACCGCGGCCTCTCTCCGCGCCGCGCCCCCTCCCGCGCACGTGACCCATCTCAGCCAATCGTAGCCCGGGAAGGAGGGCATCACGTGACGAAGGAGGATCCCGCCCCCCGCGGGCGGCGCCCCCTGGCGGGCGGCGGTGCTGCTGACGCCTTGAGGAGGTTCCCGTTCTCCCGGGTAACTCCCACAGAGTTTGGGGGCAGCTTCAGTTTTTTAAAAATTTATTCGCGTCCTTAACAAATGCGTTTGGATCCCCTTCGCACCTTGAGCAGGCCAGGAGCTTTCTAATTTGGAAATTTCGTTTGAAACCTCCCAGCTTAGGAGGCTCGTTTGAAAAAGACGCTGGGCAACCAGGGCAGAGCTTTGCTGAGACCGAGCACGGCGTGAGGAGCCTGATCCATAGCCCTGGCACAGCCGGGATGAGGGATGCCAGGACCAGCCCCGTGGGTCGTTACCTCATGGAAGCCTCACCAGAGCAAACAGGAGGATTGGCCAAGCCCCTTATCGAGGCTTTGTCCCTTCTTCAACTAACAGTGGTGTTAATGAACCTCTTGCCATTAACATCGGGTTCCTAGAAAGCATTTGCTCGACACAGTGAAGTTTTATGGCCAGCGACGTCCTGACCAGGGTTTCAGCATCACTTTGTGCAGCCTTGTTTTCCACCGTGTCCTCTGCACATCCCACACCCAGACACAGCACAGCACCATCCATCTCCCTTTATCCAGGCTCCTGAAGGCAACTGCAGAAACTGAACACAGAGATTTGCATCTGCCCCCACCACCCCACCCCAGATTCTGAGGCTTGATAACCTCACAAGTCCCAAAAGCTAATCTCACCAGCCAGCTCAGAGACCCTACTCTCCACCAAGACCATTTCCCAGCCAAACCTTAACTTGCCAACACCAGCTTGGGTGCATGCAGTTCAGGGCACAGCTTTCCTTGGCTCATGATTTAAGGACATTCTCCTCCTTATGCAATCAAAACCAATATTTAAGAGACAGGGAAAAAAAACCACCCTGGCACATTCTTCCCAGACCTAAAATTATCATCTTAAGAGGTGAAAAGTTTGGAAAGAGCAAGGTGATGGGAAGCAGAGCTATGACAGATGGTGGGTGGGCACCAGTGTTCCATTCATGACCCGTGGGAGTTACTTCACCACTGCTCCCTGGCCAGCCAGCACTGTGTTGGTGTTTTTGAATAAAATACTGAGGCAGACTGCTGCTCTTTGGGATAGGAAAGGGAGAAGGAAGGAAGGTGTTAAATATCTTATGAAAGGCAGAAGCAGCCTTGACCAGCCTCTGCCCCCTCTCAGCTCCCATGCTTTGCTTCATCAAATTACAGTTGTCCCAGCAAGGGACAGAGCAATGGTTTGAGCCAGGGTTGTGCCACATCACCCAGTTTCTACTTACTTGTGTTCCATGTGATGATGAAAAGGTGCCAGGAACAGGTGACTTCATCCATAACCTCTGTCTGTGCCAGAAGCCCCTGTAAACATCTCATTTCCCAACTCAGCTGGCTTCGAAGATGTTCTCAGCTAAAGAAATCCTGCTGGGAAAGGAGCTTTTCCAGGAAATCAGGAGAAATGTCACCAGTTTTCTTCAGGCTCCCTCCTTCTGCAGCACTTCCAGGAAGTATAGAAAAAGGCCTAGAAAGTACTGGAAGAAAAGTGAGCAAAAGCTGGCAGGAATCGCTAGGAAGCACATCAAACTGTTCAGAAAGCACCCTGGAATTCCATTCCATAATCCCTACAAAATTCTCTGCAATTCCTAGAAAGAACAAGGATATTCCTGGAAAGCACAAAGAAATTCCTAGAAATTAATGGAAAATTCTTAGAATCTGGTGTGAATTCCTAGAAAGCCCTCTGAAAATCCCACAAAAAGTCCATTGAAATTTCTGGAAAGCAGAAGGATATTTTATAGAAAGCACCTATATAGAGGGAATTCCTAGGAAGCAATAGGAAATTTCTATTCTAAGTGTTAGTTTGTGTTCTCATTGCTCCCCGGGAGTGTGACAATTAGCATTCAAATTAGCTTTGGAGTTCCTGTGGGCAGTGTTAAGTGGTCAGGATGATACATGATTGAGCTGGCAATTGGGATTTCTGGGTTCCATGGTTTATATACTGAATACCACAGTTTTATGTCTATAAACAAGCACAAAATTTATATATATTAAACTTCTAATAATACAAACAGTAGATATACTCTAGATATACACATTTCAAAAGTCTTTCTACAGCCAGAGGTTTACTCTTTCTGTTCCATACACTCTTTCAGAGATCCCACAATAACAAACCTTAACTATTAATGTCGAGTTTCACCATGCTGGAGCTTATCAGGCACTTGGCTCAGCTCCAAGGGGAAGCAGGCCTGGGTCCCTTAACCATTTATATCCCCCTCACCACCATTGGGAGTGCAGCCTTCTGGGGTCCTTCTTGCTTCTGCTGAAGGAATGGGATGGGGCTGTGAACTCCTCCTGTTTGTCACCTGTCCCTCTAAAAGAGGAAAAGGCTCTTCTTAGAGAGGTGGTCTCAAGGTTTTGGAGCAGACCAGCTGCAGCTGCCCTCCTTTGTAAAGGCAGCTTCATTCTCTTCCCTCTCTCCTGCTTTGTTTTGGTGATGATCAGACACTGCCCCTGGGGAAAGAAGGGGATTTCCACAGATTTTCTCATTTCCAGGATGAGGTACCTCCAGCTGTCTTTCTCCTTTGAGGAGCCCTGGGCAGGATGGTGGGAAGGGCTGTGTGGGATCTGGGCTTTGGTTTATCATCATGCTTTTTCTCTCCCATTCTTGCAGAATTCCCCTTCCATCGAGCAGACAAGGCTGCTGTGTACTCTGCCTTGCACAGGCTTTGCTGTGTTCCTGTGGGAATTTCTTCAGGAAGGTGCTGCCCAGGGGGAGGACACCCACCCTCTGGCCAACACCTGGGGTAAGGTCAGGAAGACACAGAGCTTGTGCCTCAAACCCGAAAAGCAGAACCTCACTGTCTTGTGTATCCAAGTAAGGACATTCGTCATTATCACCCCAGCTCCACAGTTTAGGTTTTCCTTGGGGCAGGTGTCACTGCCACCTCTGCCAGGGGCTGAGTGTTCCTGGGGCTGGGCCACTGACCCTGCCAGTTGCAGATCCTAGACTGGATCATAACCTGTTGCTTGATTTAAAAACAGAAGGCTGTTCTCTGTGCTCAAGTAGAAGATTTTGCAGGAAATTTCTTCTTGCAGTAGCCTTTCCAAGTGGTTGCATTAAAAATAAAAGCAAGCAGGCAAGAGAGGAATATTTTTCAAGCTTAAACATCCTGTTATTTTCTGTATCAAACTTCAGCTTTGAATTGCCAAAAAATATTTTGGTTTGGATTTTCAATGAATACATTGAAGGAGCTTTTAGGCAATAAATAAATAAGTTCACTTGAAATTTTAGTTGATGACGCGTTATTGTTGGTTGGGTTGGAACACAGATTGGCTCCTACTGGAGCTGGCTGGGGGTCAGAGAGGTTTGCTTGGACACTGGCTTTGCTGTGCTTAGGCAAGGCCCTTGCCCAGCAGCTCAGATGCTGATCACATACTGAATTACACAGCAGTGCTTCCCCAGGGCCCTCTGCATGGAAAACCAAGGCAATGGAATTGCAAAACCTCTGCCCTCCCCACCATCAGACTGCCATAAAGCTACTTTATCTCCCTTGGATGGGACTTCTTTGCCTGCTGCTGAGCCTCAAGTTTCACCTCTCTCAGTGCCCCAGCCCCACCTGGGCTTTCTGGCATGTCCTCACCAAACACACGAGTCATTAAGCCCCCAGCCAAGGCAAATACCAATGTGTGAGAGGGCTGGCTTGCAGTAACAGCAAGGTTATCCAGCCAAAAATGGCAGGGAGCTGGGAGAAGGGAAGAGCTAGAGATGCTCCATTAAAAAAAAATAATGTGGAGAAAATAGTCTGGAAACTGGGTGCACAGAAACAGCAGGACAGAGAGCTTCATCATCAGGAGAAACATCCCCATTCCCAACAAACCTCACTGTCCTCATCGCATCGACACAGTGTTGGTGCTGCCACCAACACAGGCCAATGGCCACCTGTCCCATGCCACTGACACAGACCAACTGCCACCTGCCCGATCATGCAGGCACAAATTGAAAAACCTCAAGGCCCACAAGAACAGCAAGCAGCAAGTTTCATCTGTGAATGAGCCCATGAACTCTGCTGTCCAGTGCAGATGCTTCCAGCTAATTATTTTCAGCATCAGGTTTCAGGCCTAAGCTAAAAATAAAAAAGATTTCAGTGTGAAGTTAAAGTAAACAGAGAATATGTCCAGCCCTGCAGGAGTTATCTCAGCTCCTCCTTTGGGAGGACATAGTGGGGAAACAAAAAGTTAATCCTTCTTAGTTCTCATTGACACGGAATGGAGAAAAACAATTAAATGGGAAAGCCAGCCTAAAGCTGAGAACAAAGACATGGCACCAATATTTCAGGTCTTTTTCCTCCACTCTGAAGGGGAAAAATGTGCTCCACATTTCATCCCTTGCAGGTTATCTTGGGAGGAACAATGTCTCCATAATTTCTGCTGACAATTAACCTCACCCGTGTAGCTATTCTTCCCTGGGTCACCAGAGCCACTATTTATACCCTTGGCCAGGGATGCTGTTGCCACCAAACAACTGCCCTTCCCCTTGGCCAGGCCTGCACCAAGGCAGTGAGCCCCAGGGTGCCCCCCAAGCACCCTGCCCTGCTCACCAGGACCTGCTTCACTTGGACCCTTAAAGTACAGACCCTCCACTGTCCATTTTCTGCTCATGCTTTGCAAACACAAAGAAAAACCCCAGACACACATGTTGCTTAACCATACACTTGTACATAGTATCACACAGCAGGGCCCACCAGACCAAGTGCACAGGGTTGGGATGTCTGGAGTTATGGTCTGTAGGACCTTTGATTAGCTGATCTCCAAAGGGCTTGGGCAGAAAGAGAATCTGCCTTGAGTCACCTCTCTGCAGTACATGGGTAACGCTGATTTCCCCCATTGCTGGCAGAGACACCAATGACTCACCTGAGTACCTGCACAGTATTTTTT